AGTGATATTGACTCTATAGACCATGTCTTGTCTCCATTTTTTTTTCTTTCCCTCTGTCTCTACTTCATCTCTTTCCGGTCCTACAGCCTGTGCTGTATCTTTCCAAAATCTCTCTCTTCCGACCCAGACGCTCCCTCTCCCCTTTCTCTCCCCTACACTGTATTCTCTCTCTCTCCCCTTGTACTCTATGCTGCTCTGTCAGTGTAGGCTACCTCTGGAACTTAATCCTATGTCTACAAGATAAGGCTTCATTATGGCCAGATTAACAATGTGCCTGTTGTCTGCCACAGTCTGGTGGCAACAGGGCCACTGAGCGACCTGCACTGTCCTGAGGTCAGCGAGGACCGTCAGAATGCCTTTCTGAGAGCGAATCTCTCTCTTCAGGAATGCTGCATGCAGGAACAACCTGGCACATGCTGGTCACCGCTGCATACTTCCCGAGTAACAAGAGAAGGGGCACAATGGCACTTTACCAAATTGCTCCTCAAAATCTTTGACACAGGCTGTCATCATCAGGCAGACGGAGCCCAAGACTCCATAATGCGGACCTGGTGTTGGGTGTCATGCTAATCACTCTCAATTAGCAGAGAGCAGGCTAAAAAAGCCAGCCAGTTATGGCTGCCTGCTGCTGACAGGAGTGTGACGATATCATTCAAACAAGACAGTGACAGCTACAACTATCCTGGAGGGTCAGTGGCTGATGGATGGCCTAGAAAAGTTCACATTACTGTAACAGCAGCAGGGCATGGTGTTGAGTAGATGTTGCTTTGGTTGGGGGCGTCAGTTTGAGCCAGGCAGGTTCACCTTTGAGCCCCAGTCAGCAACAACAGAAGTACTTGACTAACACCACACCCTGTAATGTATAGTATGTTTCCATGCTCTGTTGCACAGCGCTGTTATGTCTGAGATGAGCTTGGTGCTCTTTTGGAACTTTCTGTTTGGCATTTAACCCTCCTTGGTCTTCCGTAACATATATACTTAAAAATGCCTCTACTTAAATTTTACTTAATTTTACTTAATTATTACATTCTAGTAATATAAATTGTTTAGTCAACTTTTAGCTCAAACAATTACATTTGTGCCATAGGTAGAATAGCATAAGAATTTGATTGATATATTTTGGATGTACGTAAAAAAACTGTTGTGCAATTTTTTAACATTTTTGCCATGTTTTTGTAATTTTTTGACCTTGAAAAGAACTGGAAAAAGTAAATGTGACATAAATGTGTTTCATTATGTAAACTGATATTACGTGAGCATGTAATTACATACAAATACAGTTCTGTGTAAATGACAGGGACCACCCTTCTGTTTATTTAATTCCCAGTCAGATGGCCATTAATATTTAAATACTTAAATGTCAGGTAAATAAGCAAAATAACATTTTACATACAAATTAGGCAGAAACCTCAACAAATACACGCACACACACACACACACACACACACACACACACACACACACACACACAAACAAACAAACACACGCCACTCTTTACTTTTGTGCATGCTACTGTGCCACTTTAACTCTGTCATCCTTCCAAACTTAAAACCAGTAAGTTACAGCGGACTTACAGCTTACATTATTCCCCTCATAGAGATACTTGCATTCACACAAGCAACCACCCAAACACACCTTTAGCTGTTTTTCAAATTTCTTTCTTATGTGCATCTAAAATTGAGATATTTCTGATGCGATTAGATAGAAGATAATACATTTGCATAAACAAGGTGAAAGTTAAGGGAAAATAAAAAGAACAATTAAAGTTTCTAAAACTGGACTTCAAATGTGTACCTGGCAGACCACAAAACTGTCGCCATTAGATAAACAGTATTTAAAGCGTTCACCTTTGAGAGAGTCCGAAAGGATATGTAGCTGTTAAGAAGCTGTTACTGAGAAAAGGAAACAGACAAAAAAGAAGAACATTTGCAAATCAAACAAAGAAGCTGCTGGAGTTCTCAGAACAGTGGACTGACCACCACAGAGTCCAGACTTTATCATCACTGAATATGTTTGGGATTATTTGGATCATGAGAATCAGTAAATGCAACCAACTTCTGGGACTGAAATTTGGAGGTGTTGAACAATATCCCTGCAGACTTCTTTAAACTGAAGGTCTGAACTGAAAGCAAGTCTCCTGAAAAGAATGGAAGCTGTAATAAAGGCAAAGTGTGGGCACACTAAATACTGAAAAAATGATATTTAGTTGTTGAGGCTTCTGTGTCTGTCAAATGTTTTCTTCTTCCTTTACCTGATGCTGAAAATTAATAACTTGTTCTTAATGGCTGTTTTGTCTGGAAATCAAATAAATGAAGGGACATCTTTAACTTTTGCACAGTGCTGTACAAATGTAATGTAAATTGAATGTAGAGCAGAATCACAATAATAACTTCAGACTTGTAAGAGTTGGAACTGCCTGTTTTTAAGACAATGTGCTGCTACACTATGTTCATTGTTTGATGAATTGTGCACCAGTGAGGTTCACAGTTGTTCATTGTCCTGCGCTTCCCTAAATGCTCTTATTACGTTGCATGTTGGGGGGCTCTGGGGGTTAGTGCTGGGATTTGGCCAGTCGACAGCTGTTTTGCCCTTTAATAAGATTAGTGTAAAGAAATTAGTCGTGTGCTCTTTAATCTGCTGTTTAACCATGTGAGCCACCTGGGGGCTGCCCCGTCCCCCTGTTGGATCCTCCTACATTCCACCCCACAAGTGATCCTGTAGGCATCAGATAACCTGCTCCTCAAGAACCCTGTAAACATGCGCATATATCAGGTTCATCATGCATTTTGTATGCGTTTAAGTACGTCATCCTTGCGTAATTCTCAAGATGGAACAAATTAAGCCTTTCAGGTTACCATATATATATATGCATATGCATGAAGACGATCTTCTTAGAGGCTTAGTCCACCCAAAACACTGTCTTTGTTCAGCTTTTGTTAGAAAATGCTCATGACTGTGCACACTCAATGATTGAAAAGTCTAATATATGATGGTTGGGCAATTTGCGGTGTTTTGTGTTTTCTTCTTATTGTACCGTCAGTCCCAGATAAACCACCAATAGTTTTATTCTTGTAGTTAAGCTTTCAGTCCACTGTTTATCCTTGAGAAGCTGTGTTGAACCCTGACACTGTGAAGGCTGTCATTCAATCCCAGCCTGGTCATCGGACACCTCCCCTTTTCAAAAAGTAGCCTAGGAACAATATGGATACCTCAAATTCCATGACAAGTGCTAAAGAGGTCCTTACCTGAAGTAACCCTTTTAAAGCACAAAGAGAGATGTCTTTCTTTAAAAAGATTTGATCACTGTTGTCTTACAGGTGTACAGACTTGTTCTGTCTGGTCAGGTTCTGCATATTCCCAGGTTTTAGAACCAAAGTCAATTGGAAGTTGAGTTCCACAATCAGAGCTTTTTTTTCAGTGGAAAATCAGTGACTCAGAGGCAGTGCTGGTCGGCTGCCCAGAGTGCACAGTTCGGAGGGGATCTCACATTTCTCTCTCTCGTTTACCGAACAGAGCCTGCAGTATCACTCCACTCACCCATAACCATCCCTCCCTCTCTCCCCGTGGCTCTGTTTCACTCCTCAATAGATAGCCTTCTATCAATGCAAAAGAAACACTACACTGCTCATGCTCTTCCGAATCAATGTTCCATGTGCTCACCGAACGAGTGATTTTTAAACATTGCACATAAATTGAACCACACCTCTCTCAGCACCCTGTCTAGAATGTTTATTGTTAGTTTGTCGGAGGTGAAAACGTGTCAATTAATAACAACGCACATAAAGTAGGTACACCGGATTTTTATAACGAGCAGCAATTGAGCGGCTGAAAAAGCACAATGCTTGGAATGATGTGTGGAACACTTGGACTCTTTCCCAGAAGTCCACTCAGAGCCTTCTCCCTTCTTCTCCCTTTAGTCCCATACTGCATGTCTGACGCTTTTACGCCGCTATGTCAATACCCGCGCCACTATCTCCCTGATCTGCCCGCCGGCGGCTTAAATATACACTCCTGCTTTTGTCAGTGGGGTGGAAGTTATCGACAGGCTGAGACGTACGCGGCCTGGCGCTATTTTTATTACGTGCGCCAATACGGTTTGGCCGAAAACACCGAACAGATGGCGACGGTTGCGGTAGATATCAAAATGTTTATGGCTGGGAATAAACACGGCCTACTTTTAACCAGGGAAGTCGGATTCCTTTGGTCCGTACCACAGATAGGGCCCCGCCACTCTGCTTTGGGTTAAAATATACAGTTGTCAGAAAATATTAACTGATGAAAGGAGGGAGTAGGGTAGGTGGAGGGGGCCGCTGTAGCCGGAGCAGAGTGACTGGTCACTTATCAGTGGCATTAATCTTCTCTTAGGCTGTTGTGCAGCAGACATAATACAGAAGACTGACTGCTGGCCGACTGGCCTACAGGCGCTGACGGCTAGTCTCTTATCTTTGCATGGGGAGAGAAAGACGTGGAGAGAGAAGAGAATAGAAAAGGGGTGCAGGGAAAAGACAGGCCAGAGGGAGGGATAGTGAGTGGGAGGGGAAGTGGAAAGAAGGAGTGAGAGAGAAGAGGAATTGGTGGACAGATTGGGCAGTCTGCTTCCCAGTCCCTCTTGTTAAGCGGGTTAGAGTGAGAGCATATTGGCCTTTTCTTGAGGAAGCATGATTGGGCCGGGGGGGTTGGGGGGTGGTTTTTCTGTAGAGAAAGCCTTCTTACATGGTGGTGGTTGTTTTTTTTTTTTTTTTTTTAAATGCCCTCTTGTGTTCTGAGGCTTGCTTACATTCTGCGTGTAATGTTCACACCCTGAGCTTATAGTGTCCATTTCCTCAGATAACCTTACCATGTTACTGCAGGAGATTAAACTCATCTGATTGGCGGTAAAGTAGAAGTTGCCCTGAAGTGTTGAACGAGGGCCCGGTTCTGTTCAAATGCTTATCTTCAATGCCGAGTCAAACACAGAAGTTTGGATAGTTTTTCTAAACTGAATGTGGTGTGTGTTTCAGGTCTCTGTGTGCCGCTGTAAATGTGTATTACCTGGCCTGCTCCCGCTGCTACAGCAACTGCTCTTATGTTCTCTACAGCAACAAAATCGCCCCACTCATGGACCTTCTGCTCCACCAGTTAACGGTAGGCCACTGCACAAAATGACCATTTACACAATTATCATTTACACCTGAAGGTTACTTAATTCAACCATTTCTGGTTACTTGTAAGCAGGTTCTATGATCATGTTATGATAAGCCCATATTAAAGTGGAATTTTGGACCAAAAAAAAATAAAGTTTACCCCAGATGTGCTCAGTCTGTCAAGACAAGGCTAACACACCTAACAAGGAAGGGAATCTTATAACCCACTAATTAGCACTGTGCAAGCTGCATGACTAAATCATCACACGCTTGCCTAAAACCACACCAAGTTAAGTAATCCCAAATAGATGTGCTTGTGTGGTTTCTGACACTGTATGACATACTGTTATAAAAATGGACAAACATAAGATTGAGGCTTCAAGATGATGGGTACTACTATTTTACTTACTGTGCAAAATTCAAAATTCAGAGACAGCATTCATTTATGTAATTTCCAGAGAAAACAGCCATTAAGCAGAAGTAAATATTTTTTTCCTGATGCTCAGAAATGAAGAACTTGTCCCTAATGGCTGTTTCCATTGGAAATTAAATAAATGAAAGATAGTCTTTGTCTTTTGCGTATATATATATATATATATATATATATCTATATCTATATATATATATCTATATTGTATATATATATATATATATATTGTATGTATATATATATATATATATATATATATATTATATATATATATATATATATATATATTGTGTGTGTGTGTGTATATATATATACACACACACACACACATATATACAATGCCCTTTTCTGTTTTTATAGTTAACAGGTAGGATATGAGCTTGCATTGCTGGTTAATTACATTAGCCTCGTAGCTCCAGTGCAAAACTGAAGAAGCTTCAGAAACTTCAGACAGCAAACATGTCTTGGCTGATTGACTGTGTTTGGGCTAAGGGGAAAATTGTGTAAATTTAATTTTTTGCTGAGCCTTAAGCTTTTAAATTTTGTGGAATAATTTGGTCACATTGGAAACATGGTTTCTGTTTTTTCTCATTGTGCTAGAGCAAATGTATCCTATCCAGCAGTCAGAGACCAGAGCCAAAAGGGACCCCAAGACATACAACATTGGTCTAGTTTACATAAGTAACTGAATCATCAGACTTCTGGGAAAGCGGCATTGCCAAATCACGCTTCTTCATGAGTTTGAGACTGTTCACTCTGTAGTATGGCATGCTCATTATAAGACAAGTCTCCTTTTTCCAAATACACACTGGTGAGCAGACGCAGGCAGTGTAAATCTTACACTATACACACACCATACTTTCCTGGTAGACGTTTGGAAAAAGAGAGAGAGGGGCTATGGAAAGACTTCATACAGGCAGTATGGCAGCATGTACATGGGCCTATGTCCCTCAACACTAAGCCAAGCCCTAATGCTCCAAACAAACCTGACCGAGACGAGCACCCTGTGAGTGTGGGGAGTGTGTGTGTGCGCCTGTATTTGTGTGTGTAATTCTAAACAAATAACTTTGGCAAACCAATGAGCCAGAATAGGTCTAGTCTGGAAGTTCCAGTTTGGGGCAGTCATATTTCCTGAGGCTGTAGTAGGGTAGGATGGAGGGGGGAGGCTGTCTTTTAAGCATTGGTTTACATCTGAACTAGCCCAGCAGCTATTCCGGCTACTCTTTTGGGTCTAGTCCCTCGTTCAAATACTGCATTTTGGTTTGAAACAAAATAATGGCCAGATTTTTGTAGTAATCAGTATGATATATGTATCATTTGCCTACATGTAAATTTCTACTATTATTTTGTTGGTTTAGTAACAAGAAAAGGGCTGAAATTCTACTAAACCGGGTTTTAATGTAGATTTGTTTTTCGGAGAATACAGCATTTACATGAGGAACCAAACAAACCAGGAGATCCTTTTGGTTAGTGAGGTTAGCTAGGGTTAGGTTTAAGTGTAGGCATTATAATGTTTAGCTAACAGAAAGCCATAGTTTTATGGTAAACCTCATAAAGATAGTATTACGAGTGTGTGTGTGTGTGTGTGTGTGTGTGTGTGTGCGCATGCATGCACGTGTATGTGTAGTGCAGGCAGCGCTGGCGTCTCCCCCTTCCCCTCCTGTAATTAGATTTGTTGAGAATGTAGCAGGCTTTGCCTGCTCTGTCAGTGTTCCTCTCCACCCCTCAGTTAAAGATGACATTTGAACGTTGGCTTTGCTTGTGCTGCCGCAAGCCTTTACTTCCTCCCTCAAATGACTGGCCCATGCCTAATCAGCCGGCCCTCTCACCAAGCGCTTATCTGCAGATCAGACAGCTGAGTTCTCTGTTTAATGATCCAATCTGAACACTGGACAGAGTTTGGCTGAAATGATGAAACAGAACTGTTGTGGGGATAAAATATAGCCTTTTAATATGTGAATTTGCACTGTGCGCTATGTATAACATGATTACTTGTTAAGGACTAGGTGGGAACGGTGCTTATAAATCCAGTTGGACTCTAAACTGACTTAAAACGAAATGAAGAGCCAGGGGAGGCTCATTTGTTTCTCTTAGGCCCAGTAATCCTCTGTCCACTCCTCTGAAGGCCCTGCATGCCAGGTACTCAAGGCCTCTGGCAGCACCCAGCCAGGCTTTGCTCGCTAGTGAGGGAACACAGTAGAGACTTCTCATATGCCCATTGCTGGCACGCTACCAGTGACAATGTCACTTCGAGTTTAACCACCAGTTATAGCGCAGAGCTGATGAATAATAAATAGAATGCTTGTTGTTATTTATTTCACAGAGGATCAGGATTCCAACCAAAGACTAATGGCATGTGCATGAAAACAAAGAGGAAGGGATCGTTTTTATTTGCACGCTCTGACTTAATTGGACAAGCTTTAAAATGCACGCTGAGGTTTAAATGTCCTGGTCTATTGTGCATCGCACTCAGGGTTGATATTGAGACTACTGGAGCCATTGTTGAATGAGCTCAGAGATGCATCATTGCCAAGATTCGTGGTAAAGGCAAGCTTTGCTTCAGTGGGCTAGACTTACTTGTGAGAAGTCATGATGAAAGACAAGATTTTCAAAATAACACAGATAATTTGCATAAGCATGTAATGATATCAAAACCAAAACAGTGTATTGTTTTAACACGTCGATGGGATGGTGGCCGTAATATTAAAGCAATAATTTGGTGACAACTAATTTCCAAATGTAGTCAATTGACCAAGACATGTTTGGTATTTTAGGTTTGCTTCTTTGCAATGAAGCAGCAAGCGAAACCTGATATATTTTCACTTTAAATACAATGACATCATATGGTATGTATGTATAAGATTTGTCCTTAATTTGTTTTCATGATTTCATTTTATTTGTTCATTTATATATTTTGTGTTGGGGTGGGGGTGTTATTTATATTGTATACAGTCATTGATTGGTCTTGTTGGTAATTGTGACTTGCTTTAATGATGTCACAAGTGGGTGGGTTCAAGTGATTAGTAGTACTATATAGTGGGTTGGTGGCTACAGTGGTCACAAGCAGGCAGAGGAAGGCCGCACATTGAAAAGTGCCTGTGCTTCTTTCTGTAAGCTTATTAAGTACTCAGTAAATTGTGGAAAAAGTGCTGTTCAACTTTTTCTACCTTTTTAAACTCTTTTGGTGGGGAGGTTTTATAGTACGTTTCTTTTTTGGGGGGTTATAGTACTTTACAGTTTTTATGACGAGGGTAGCCTGTAGATTTTTTTGCCAGTAAACCCTGAGGCTAATGTAGCTAACGTAACGAAAGCTTATACCCCACCAAATAGCACTGTGCAAACTGCATGTCTAAATCACTCACTTTCTGAACCAAACTGAACTGAATTATTAAGAATTTCACAGATAGTCTTGTTTACATGGTTTTCTGACACACTGGCATTCTGTTATGTCTAGAAATGGTCTGTAAATTAAAAGCAACAGCAGTAACAGCCGTTATGAATCCTGAGTTTTTGTCCTGACGTTTATAAATTTGGGAGAAGAGGAAAAATATATAAATTTGATTTTTTGCCAGTCTATTGTAAACAATGTTCTTCCAAGTAGAGCATATTGGGTGTATTTATTGCATGTTCATTTTATATCTAAGACAGAGCTGGTTAGAAATAACCTCTCCAGTTGTGACTGAAGTGGTGTGTAAATATCTGACATGTCTGGCCATCCTAGTGTCATGACTCTCTATCAGTTTCAGCCCAGTAACCACAGCACCTCTCTGTGGCTACTTTTCTTAAATAAATACTCTCACACTCTCTCACACACTCTCTCTATCTTGCTGTTTCCTGCTGCCTGTCTGCCCCTCAACTCTCTCTGTCTCTCTTTCTCTCTGTCTCTGTTTCTCTCTCTGTCTCTCTCTCTCTCTCTCTCTCTCTCTCTCTCTCTCTCTCTCTCTGTCTCTCTCTCTCTCTCCTCTCCTTTCCTCTCCTAATTGGCACGTCTGTGTTTGTGTTTGTTTTTCTAGCTGTATGTTCCAGACGAGGATAAGTCCATCTTTGGCCGCAGTGTGAATAAGCAGGTATTTGAGGGCTTGACCACCGGTCTGCTCCAGACCACAGCTACAGTACTCTCGCTCCTGCATCCCTCTGGGCTGGAGGCTGGGAGAGAATCTCCACAGATCTGCCCGCCTGATGCCAAAAGTAAACTGGCCAGCGGAGAAAACTTCAACACCCGTGCTCAAGACCTCATCAGGTCGGTATTTTATTTTTTATTATTTATTTATTTATTTTTAAAGGTCTTTTTACCAAAAAGTCAGCCAGGATGTGTTTTGTGTCTAAATGTTGCTTCTTCACTTTTGCACTGGTGCTATGAAGCTAATATGGCTAACTCCACCAATTATCATTGTGCAAACTGCATGTCTAAATAATCACGCAACTCAAACCATGTCAAGTTGTTAAATTAAATCCATGTTTTCTTTGTAAGTAGGTTAATCTTGTTTCTAAGTTAGGTTATGTCCTTTTAATAACTTTGTAATGTCCACTAATGACTTATTTTAGTACAGTTCTCTCTGTTGTAAACTGGGCAGTCTTAATAGGAGGTGTCCTCACCAATCAAAAGGCTTCTGTGGTTTGCCCTGTTGTAAAGGAACACAGTTTAACAAAATTGTCTTCCCCTACAATCTCTGTTCAGGTTTGAGAAACTTACCAAGTGAAGGCCAACAACTGAGCAAAAACATAACTGAATATAAAGCATAACTGAACTATCAAACTATCTCAGCTGTCTGCCTGTTGACCATATATCCATCCGTTCGGCTGTTTGTTTATTCAGCCGGCCCCTCCAGCATTCCCTGCAGAGTTCCTGCAAATCCTTAAAAAGTCTTAAAATAGATTTGAAAATGTCAAGGCCAAAAAATATGTCTGAAAATGTCTTTTTTTTTAAATTATTAGATATATGCAATTAAAAATGTCTAATCGCAGCATATTTTAATAGATCAGATATCGGCTAAACTAACCTCAGGTTCCAGTACTTTGTTTTTTTGTGCTCTGTTTACTCTGCTGTCACAGAGGTGACAGAAACTGACATTATTTCACACCATGCAGCATTGAGGAGTGTTTTCAGAAGGTAACAAAGTGGTTAAAAGTCTGCATTGTGGAACTATTTTATGGTGGAAAAGGAAATAATAATATCTGCAGTGCCTGCATTTCTACACCAACATGTAAAATGTGAGCAGCCAACTATTCTAGTCTATTCCAAGATGAATAATTTTTAAATACTAACCTTTTTATTTATATATCGTTTTGTCTTTTTGGCACTTGTCCCACCACAAACATTGCATTTCAGTCCCCCAAAACAAAAAGTTTGTGCATCTCTGGGTTCAACTCAGTATTAGCTGATCTGAGACTCAGATCAGATTGGAGGGCAGAGGGGTGGTGGGAAGAATCAGGACATCCCTTATGAAATTCTAACATGATTCTTAAGTCTTCTTTGTATATTTAACTAACCAAAACTACCAAGCTGGCTGTGGTCCTGTGGTTAGAAAATGACCACTGATGAAGGATTAGAGGATGATAAAACTGATAACACACTGACCTATCAAGGATCTTGCCATCTCAAAGCATATATTCATGTTTTTTATACCAGTCATTTTGAATAGAATAGATGTGCCATATTATTCCTAATCATGGGTAACACATACATAAGCAGTGTCCTCACAAATCAAAAGGCTTATGTGGTTTGTCCCACCCACACAGCTTTAACAAAACTGTGTTCCCCTACAGCGTCTCTATTTTTACGTTGGAGAAACTTTCCAAGTCAAAGCTAACAACCGAGCGAAAACATAACTGAGCATAAAGCATAACTGAACTATCACGCTATCTTGTCTGTCTGCCTATTGCCCAAACGTCCGTTTGTGTGTGCTGTTGTATGGTTCAAAAGGCACTATTTTTGCTTTGTTGAGGTTTTAAAAAGATAAAAAAAGCACTGAATTTGACTTTAAAACTGTGCGGCAACCCTGTCTCTTGATGTACATCCAGCAGCGGTAAAGTGAATAAGAACCTTTCCTTCTTTAAAACATCATATTTGGTGAGTCATGGACAGAGCGGGGATGGTCTGAAGCAGTCTGTGTATGTGGAGCCCATTCTACTTATTTCTTCCCACTCGCACAGTTGTATAGTTAGTTCTGCTTCTCTGGTGTTGCATGAAGGTGTGTTGGACTGAGGGCTGTCAATCACAGGTGCTCATCAAAATATTAGGACCTCACCCAGACAGTTCTCAGATAGGCCTGATCTGCGGTTTTTAAGCTGTGTTTTATTGTTATTTTGTTTTTTAAATTCAACCTTTGTTGGATGTTTAACAAAATTTTTAGTATCTTACAAAAAAGTTTGCAATGTATTATACTGTTCCCTGGGACTTTAAGTGGTTTGTGAAGAACTTTAATATAATGCCTTCTTAATAGGATGAATTGTGTATCTGCAGTTGGTGTGAAAACAAGGCTGAAACCCTTACATTCTTTTTTAATGTAAGCGTGTGTAGTGTGACATAGCCTGTGTCAGTAAGGGATTTCTGCTTAGTAAATCATTATATTGAGTATTGGAAATGATTTTTGTTGCTTGGAGAGAATCCAGAGGTTTAGCTTTTCCTGTACCTAGCTTAGCCACAAGCCTGGGATGAGGTTTTGGCAAGCTGCTCATGAACCCCTAACCATTATTTCACATCACACACTAACACAGATGCACAGATTTGTCCTAGTTGGGTGGAGCGTAGATTTGGAAGTGGCAACCTCCTCAGTGGTATTAGGCTATAACTCTTGCACATACTCCATACGCTGTAACCTTAAATCCCCGTCTACTCTGGCCAAGGGGAGCCGCAGCCAAAATCCGCTTCTGGAACTGCACGACTTCCAGTTGAACTTGGTCTGAGAGCGAAAGGGCGCGGAGGAGGGATCGGCTGCTCAGCTCTGTCTCTGTCCATGAGGAAAGGCAGACTGTCTCGGAGTGTTGAAGGAAGCCAAATTTCCCACAATCCCCCTCTTCTCTGTGCTCCCATGATTCATCTGACCAGTGCTGCTTTAGTGGCCTAACGTGTAGTGACCGTAAAGTGACCCGACTGACAGGGTGTACTTGCACCAGAACCGGCAGGTTTACATTAAGACTGTTCCTGTGTAAGAGAGTCTTTAGAGTGGTCAGCACCCGTAACCGATTAACATTAATACTATTTTTAATTACATGTTGTGCTAAAACAGTAGTTAAAATTCTCAGTCAGTGCTATGATCACAGATGAGATTTTGTGCTTTCTGTCTCAGACCCAAAGCTTGAAAGGCTGCACAATTGTGTGTGTTAGAGCTCCTTTCAGCTCCAGCCAAGCCCAAGAAGAGGATAAAGTAATAACAAGGGGCTTTGGTTCAAGTGACAGGTGACCAATTGCAAGGAGGAGGGGGAGGAAGAAGGAATCGTAATTACCTGAGAGAACTGCATTTGAAAGACAGGCATAACACAAAAAAAGGAATGTATGGGAAAGGGAGATGGAAGAGAGCCCCTAAGTCTGGGAAATACATGAGTGATCTAACAAAGCCAAAAATTCATTTTCAGATTCAAATTTTTATTCAGTTGCTCTCATAAATTAGTAAACACCTGAACAGGAATACAAGTCACATATTGGTCATGTTTTATTGGTACTCTGATTAGACAAAGCAGTGATCTGTAATATGTGCTGGCCAATCCACATTGCTCTGAATGAGCAGTCCAACAATAAAAGAAGCCTCATGCATCTTTTATATGGCTATGGAAACATGGTAGCTCACAGAAAGATCGGATTCTGCATGCTGTTACACATCACTCTGGCCGCCATGGGTGTTCACGTACCGTAACTCTTCTGGCAACAGATTTAAAAAAGTTTGAGAGGCTGTTGATGATTTTCAGAATGAATCACCAGCGTGACGCTTGGTTCTGTTTGTATATTTCATATTTTGAATGCATAGCATTTTGATTCATTTATGAATAAAATTTTGGCAAAAAGTGACCAGCCCTTAGGTATTTTGATATGGTTCAAAGTGACCTCCTTTGGAAAATGTTTGGACCCGCCTACCGTTGTACAGACTGTGTTCTATATAAGTGTCACATAACTTGAATTTTGTTCATACTGTTGTCCATTTTATAGATAACTGTATATCATACAGTGCTAACTGGTAGGTGTAAGCCTCTTTTACATGTTGGCTACATTAGTGTTGTTTTTCCATTGCAAAACTAAAGAAGCAAACTTCAGACATGCCTGTGTATTACTTGTCCTTATATAGTCTGCATAATGATTGTATACTCTATATACTGTGCATATTTTAAATTGTGTATCATCTGTAAATTATATGTACATTTTCTGTATATTGCTTATAATACTAGAGAGACAACAAAGGCCATAACCAAATTCCTTGTATGCATCAACATACTTGGCTAATAAATCTGATTCTAATTCTGACATAATTGTCTTGGTTTCTAACTACTTTAGCGTAAGGTGAAAATTGTGTAATTGAAGTAATTGAATTTAGTGTAATTGAAAATCTTTTACTAAACTATTGGTTTAATTAGGCATTAGTTGAAAGAGAGGACATACTGAGGCAAGTATAAGGCAGAAACTCAGTAGTATGTTGGCTATAGAAGTGCACCTCAGAGTTGAATCACTGCTCTAAAACATTGCCCTGCTCCTCTGGGAGGTCTGTTGATTGACAGCGTGGAGCCTGCAGGCAGTGCTGGAGGTGGAGGGGGGTGGAGGGGACAGGCATACCTGAGCCGTGAGGCACCGCTCTGGGTCAGGAAGAGGAGAGGAAGGCTCCTGCCTTTGTCTGGGCTGGCACACGGAGGCACGTCCTGCCCAGTAATGCTGTAATTAGGCCTGATTTGTAGCCAGGAGGGTGGGGACCGACGCCATCATGAGACCTGTCATTTGCCTGGACAAATGAGAGATATGAGGGTAATAGGCAGGAGTGGTGGGCTCAGATGAGGGCTCAGATTTCCACTGGTCGGAGGGACTGTACCTCTGCCGGGGCCTCTGTGACCGAGCCCGTCACCATTCTGAGGAGAATAATGCACTTTCTCCCTAATCTAATTGAGTTGTAGTCAGTTTCTGAAGAAAATGACATAAGCAAGAGTTTACTTCACATTCTGTACTCTCCCACGACCTTTTAGCATCTGGAGTCTTTGTGTGACATTTCAGTTTAAATGTTTTGAATGAAAAACAAAATAATCTTTCCCTCCAACCCTCTTACTGATCTATGGCCAGCACAGTTATTCTGAGATGTAGGTTAACTGAGAAAAAAAAAATGAACCAATAAAAGTTGAGGCTTTTAATGTGCGTGGGCTTGTGCAGGCCAACTGAATGAATACAACTTCTTTATCTATTTATATGACTGACTGAGTTGTATTCTGTTTTCATGCTCCTCAGCTATGTGGTGAATATGGGCTTGATTGACAAGTTGTACGGCTGCTTCCTGTCTGTGCAAGGCCCGATCGATGAGAGTCCTAAGATGTCTGCCTTTCTGGAGCAGGCTACAGCTCTGCTCCACGCCATGTGCAAACTGTGCTTTGCTGTGATCAGCCGGTGAGTGATACCTATCTCTTCTTTTCTCTTCCTCTTATCTAAGTCTTGCGCGCTCTCTCTCTCTCTCTCGCTTACTTTCTCTGTCTCTCTCTCTCTCTTGCTTGCTCTCGATCTTGCTTACTCTGTCTCTGTCTCTCTTGCTTGCTCTCTTTTGCTTACTCTCTGTGTCTCTCTTTTTTGCTTGCTCTCTTTTTGTCTGTCTCTCTCTTGCTTAGTCTCTCTCTCTTGCTTGCTCTTTTTCTTCTCTCTGTTTTGATTCTGTTTTTCTCTACCTCCTTCTCTCTCACCTTTTCTCTACCTCCCTCTCTCTCATTATTTCTGACTCTCACTCCCTTATCCTCTGTCTCTTCCTTTCTGTCTTCTTTATCTCCTGCCGCTTTCTCTCTATCTCTTGCTTTGTCTCTTATTTCTTTCTATTTTTCATTCTGTCCTTCTCTTTCTGTTGCTCTCTTGTTCATGGTCTCTCTTTTCCTTGCTCTCTCTCTCTCTCTCTCTCACACACACAGACACACACACACACACACACACACACACACACACACACACACACTCTCTCTTACTCTTGTTCTCTCTTTTCTCTGTTGTGTTCTGTTGCTCTCTCTGTTTCTCGTTCGCTCTCTTTCTTGCTCTCATCTCTCTTCCCTCTTTGTTTCTGTCTCTCTCTCACACACTCTTACTCTTCTCTGTCGCTCTCTCTCTCTCTCTCTCTCTCTCTCTCTCTCTCTCTCTCTCTCTCTCTCTCTCGGTCTCTCTCGGTCTCTCTCTGTCAGTTGCAGTAACACAGACAGATACCACAGTGTCATCAATCACTAGCGGCCCCACGTTTCCATCTCCTTCACTGTAAACTCCTGCTTCCAGCCCACCCACACACGGCTGTGTGTACGTGTGTGTTCGTTGACAGACTCTAACCATGCAGTTGCAGCCAATAACATTTTGTCCGTGATCTGGAACTCTGGCGGTGACTCAGCTCTCTTCAGTCTCTCATGCCTTATAAAACCTCTGAAGTCTATAATATCTTCTTTAAAGTCGAGTTTCTTTGTGTCCGTATGTGTTTATTGACGTCGTGTCAGTTTTGTCTGTCATGCTGGCCACTCCTGTTCACTCCTGCTGCTGTGCCCAGCCCTGTGCTCGTCCAGCTGCTGTGTGCTGTAACACTGCCCAGCTGTTTAACACCATTCTCTCGCTCTCCTCAGCCCCATGTCACTAAATATCTGTGAGAAACCCCAGCACCAATTGCTCTCCACTTTTAATAGCTCCACTCGCTGCAGTGCTGTGTTATAATCAACATCCTTCTAATCCACCCATCTATATCTCTCTTCAGCCATTATTCACTATGTGGAGGGCCAGGAAGTTAGTCCACACTGAACGTATAGCAGACGTTTGGAAATGTTTCTGCTCCCTGCCAGTTGCCGTGCTTTGGGATTTGCTTGACAGTGGGGGTCATGTAGTTACAGAGTTGCTAATTTCCACACTCCACGCTTGGTTGACTTCAAGTAACAGCATGCACAGTGGGGTAGCATCCAGAGGGCAGGCAAGCCCCTATTCTTTAGCTCTAAATCACAGCTTGTGGTGATATGCTATACTAATAATTACCTGTCATGAGCTGAATTGTGCTTGGTGATGGACTCTAAATTATCTCTGTTGTGTAAGATTGTACTGAATTGAGTTTTTGAGCTGTAATAAATCTAGGTTTTACTCTTCAATACTAATGACTCAGTTAATGACATGAGAGAAGTAGTTTGGTTAATGATTTAGGATTTGTACATTATATGTTTATATAGGAACAGGTTCTATACATGTTACCTTGACTGTAGGAATGCACCAGTAGCACTTTTTCCTTTCCAGTACCGATACCAGATTCTGAAGTATTTGCTGAAGCTGAGTACCGATAATGAACCCAAGTTTATCTATCCTAATTACTTGATAGGTGCACAATGAGAACCAGCCAGCAAACATACAAGGATATCTTGTTTACTTGGTACTTTCAAACAGTTCAGGAATAACGTTTGAGAAAAGGATATCATAATTGTTTTCTTGGTTCAGTGACCAGGCTTATATCTCCTTCTGAAAGGCTTGTTGGAGAGTAGAGATGCAATTTCTTGCTACTACCTTGTAGCCTGATGAGCAGTTATTTGTTTCCCATCATACAGTCCCCAGACCAGGGTTTAATTCTCAGCATAAAGTGAGATTCTGAGAGCTATGGTGATTTTAGTAGGCAGTTTACATCAGACAGTCTGTTTACATCTTTGGGCAGAGTGCCTCGGGCTGACACTTACTGAAATACAACAAAATACAGACCTCAAACCGGAGTGCCTGCCGCTAGAACCCCAGCCCCTATTTTGCTAATAACTACTAGTCAACTGCTTTTTTGAATGTCTACTTGACTAGTAAAAATTAATAGTCTTGCAACCCTCTAGGATCAGGATCATTTTTTTTTAGTATTTGTAACTCTGTGTTGTTTTACAGTTGATCTAAGAGAAAACGTAGAGGAAAAAACAGTCAGATGATAGCTGCATTAGCACGGGTTTAGCTGTAAGCACAGATGAATCTGGCAGGCTTATTTGGGGGTGGTGTGTGAGCTCATATTGCCAGTGTCAGACCCTTCACTTTCATTCCACACTGGTACTGGTTTCCATTTCTTAGTCAGGGGATGTGGAACCTGTCATGCACAGTCACAGTGGGAGAACTAAGCCTTTGTTCCCTCACACAGACACTAATCATTAGTGTCTGCCCAAGTCAATCTGACCTTAGAACAGCTTTAGGAATTTGATTATAATAGTTTTGAACTGATCATAGAGCAGCTTTAAAGCTCAGCCTTAACTGCAAGCTCAAACCTGAGTAGAAGATCTTTCACGCTTGCTGACATCCTTCGCACAGGACCAAACTGTTCTCCCCATTGAGTCTGACACTCATTTTCCCCTTGGTTTAGCAGGGCAGCAACAGAAACCCTACTTCAGACCGCTACCCCCTCCCCCTCAGACCCTTCAGTCCTGCGTTCTGGTTCCTGTCATTACCTTTAGTGTCATTCCAGGTAGCCATTACCCTTTGTACTGGCTTTGGAAAAGCTCTATCTACCCAAATACTAACCTCACTATCAGTAATGGAACGGCAAAACAGATCTCAGGCCAGTGTGAGGAAGGCTGCGTTTTCCATGCCTGTATAATTTGTGGCTGTCGTATGGAGTTACCAAGCCTGCTAATCCACCTTGTGTTGTGCAGGCTAATGCACAAACATGCTGCCTTAAATCCCATAAGATGGGTCTTAATTAAATGTGCTGGAGCACAAAAGGGCCCAGGACGATAGATTGTGGAAGTGGTGCCACTGGCTGTCAGAATGCCTTCAGAGTTCCAAGAGTTCCTTCACTTCAGCTTCTGTTGAGCCTCTGCGTTGAGTTGCAGGGACACGATGTGTTGCTTTGGATCAATGTGGAATGTAAGCTGCATTGCTAAGAGACTAGACTTCTCTGAGGCCTGATTGATTTCCCATTGCTTTGTCAAATTAAATGTCTAAATTATTTCTTTCCACCCACCCTTCCCCGTACTTTTCCCTTATTACACTTCTGTTTCTGACTGTAGATGCATTAAGTCTTTCTCATTACTGTTTTTGATATCAAATTTTGGAACAAACTTGGCTGCGAACCAATTAAAGATAAAAGCCAATTAAAGCCCATTTATTTATTTATTTGTTTGTTTTCTTTTTAATTATGATTTTGAATGAATAATAGACTGGCTGCCTGTCCAGGGTGTATCCTGCCTTCCACCCTATGCTGCCCGCGACCCAGAAGGATAAGCTTCTTAGAAACTTTGAATGAATATTGTTTGTGCATTAACTTTGCGCAATACATATGCGCAAAATTTCATTCCTTTCCAGAAAAGAAAATACATGTATCTCCATTTTTATTTTTCCTGATTTGAACACAGCAGTTGTCCTATGCCTTGTGTGCATTTCAGAAATTCCTCAGAATCACTTTGAATAAAACCTTCTTGCATTAACTTACATTCAAAGTAAAGAATTATTTTGCCTTTTCCTGTAAAGTTACCATTTGAAGACATTTGTTTTCAACAGTGACAGTATGTAATATGTTTTCTTCTACTGACTACTATCACATCCAGATTTCCTCTTTGGGATCAATGGAACACATCTCTCTTTTTTATGTTTGAAAAATCAGTACTTTTAATAAAATATCACTTTAAGTTACCAGGAACTTACAGGGTCTTGGTAACTTAACAACCTAAGAACAACAGTAACTCAACTATACGGGGTTGTTATGGAGACTTTTTACAGGGTTGTTATGGAGAGATTTTTTTTTTAATCACTGTTTTTAATTCTCTGTGCCTTGGAAAATACAACCCCATTTCCCAAAAAGTTGGAATGCTGTGCAGAATGTAAATAAAAACAAAATGCAAAGCTGTGCAAATAATTAAAAAACATAACATTTTAAAGGAAAATACTACAAAGACGACATATCAAATGTTGAAACTGAGAAATTGTATTTTGAAAAATATATGCCCTTTTTGAATGTGATGCCAGCAACACGTTCCAAAAAAGTTGGGACGGGGCATGTTTACCGCTTGTTCATCACCTCTTCTTTTAACAGACTCAGTGTTTGGGAACTGAGGAGACCGACTGCTGTAGTTTTGAAAATGAAATGTTTTCCCTGTATTTTTTTTCCCTGAGTTTTAACTTGCATTTTTGGATGCAGTGATGAACTGTGTTCGTAGACAGTGGTTTTCAGAAGTGTTTCTGAGCCCATACAGTGATTTCCGTTACAGAATTATGTCTGTTTTTAATGCGGTGCAGCCTGAGGACCCAAAGATTATGGCCAATACTTGTTTTTGGCCTGGTTCCTTGCATACAGAGATTTCTCCAGATTCTCTGAATCTTTTAATGATATTATGTATTGTGAATGTTGAAAAGCAAAAGTTCTTTGCTATTTTCTGTTGAGAAATGTTATTCTTAAATGGTTGTACTATTTGATCATGTAGTCTTTCACAGAGTGGTGAACCCCTCCTCATCTTTATTTCTCAGAGACTCAGCCTCTCTGGGATGCTTTTTTATGCCCAGTCATGTTACTGACCTGTTGCCAATCAACCACCAGGTGTTTTTTTTTTTTTAGCATTACACAACTTTACCAGCCTTTTGTTGCCCCTGTCCCAACTTTTTTGGAACTGATGTTGTTGGCATCAAATTCAAAATTGATATTTTTTTCAGAAAACAATATAATTTCTCAGTTTCAACATTTGATATGTTGTCTTTGTACTATTTTCAATTAAATATAGGGTTTAAATGATTTGCACATCATTGCATTTTGTTTTTATTTATGTTTTGCCCAGTGTCCCAACTTTTTTGGGAATGGGCTTGAACAACTACAAGTGTTATATTTTAAAGATATAAAATATCTTTGTTGCAGGATTATGTAATCTTTTTGCCATTTTTACTCTTTTGCTGGGTCTTTAGACTTAGTCCACACTCGCGTTGAGCTTTGGCTCGTATGTGGCTCAGTATGACCAGTTAAGCTTCCCTGCCCCAGGCAGGCTCTGCAGACAGGGTCTACCCCTTTTATTTATATCCAAGTGGACAGGACCTGGTCTAGCGAGTAAATCTAGAAGCCACTGGGACCAGACTTCCTTCACTGCCTGCATCCTGGGTCTTTGCTCTCTGCGGTTAAGAAAGCAGCCGACGCCTCCTCAGGTTCTGAGGCTTTGAGCCGCTTGTCACGGTCTCCCCCCTCTCCAGCTGCCTCTCACCACTCCAGCCCCGCTCACAGAAGAGCTGCCTCATGTGTCTGACTTTGTTTGAAAGGCCGCTGATTCAGATGGAGTGGTGCATAAACAAGGGGAAGTTGGTTTTGCTTGCATAGAAATTCTGATACAATGAAGAATACCTTAGCTGAAGAAATAACAATATTTCTGCCCTCTACGTGTTTTTCATTCATAGTGTGTCAGTCATAAGCCAGACATTTAGAAACAGCTGGGTAAAGACAGCTTTTCTATGTATAATATTGTATGGGTGGGCAACATGGTAAAAAAAAAATCATCTCATGATACTTTCACAAGAAATGGTATGCATCACAGTATTTATTTTTTATTTTTTTGGATAAGTTTGACAAATTGAAGCAGACTGCACTGAGAGAATATTAGTACCACGTTTAAAAATTGCTTTCATAAATAATGTGTAGTTATTTTCATTCAACGTACGGTACATCCTCACTTCCATTTAAAAATCACCAGTTATTTTCTCATGGACTCTCGGCATCATTGTGATTCAAACTCGTGCTCTCTCAACAATAGGGTGAATCCTTAGCCACGTGGGAGCCCTAGGAAAATCACATCACTTTAGAGAAACATGCTGTTTGTCTTTATTCAAATACTGATGACATCTGTGATATGCTCAGTAAAGCCACCCATCCTGACACTGTTTGGCCTCTGTATGTGTTTTTGAGTGTGTTTAAGTTGTTTCTGTTCTGCATTGTCCTGTTCCTCATACTTCCTTTCTTCTAATCTTTTTCCTAGATCCCCTAGTATCTTTGACAACAAGCGGCAAGACCCCACCGGGCTGACAACGTTGCTACAGAGCACAGACCTGGTTGGTGTTCTACATATGCTGTACTGTATCCTGCTCCACAGTGCCCTGCCCGAGCCCCAGGCTGTTGGCCCGGCATCACCACAGGAGCCCTACAGTCCAGCTGTGGTCCAGGTGGCCCTGCAGAGCCTGCGCTTCCTTAACAGCTTTGCCCTGCTGGACCTCACTGCCTTCCAGGTACTTTCAGTTTTGCTCTCCAGGGTAGTGCTATGCATAGGGCCTTTAGGTTCAGTGATTCAAAGGCCTTTGATATGTATTTATTGATCCTTCAAAGGAAATTTGCCATTTTGCTGCTTAACTACACCCAGTCTAGAAGCAGCACAGTGTTGCCAGCAGAGCAGCATTGCACGGGGCAGTGAGTGCCTTGCTCATGGGCACAATCACATATACCCAGTGGTTCCTGAGATTTAAACCCACCACCTTCCAGTTGCTAGCTGCTGCTAGTAGTAAAGATGCAAGGTAGTGGTGTGCTGAAATTTTGACTGGTGAAGATGGACAGCAATGACATTTTCAGTTTTTGGCTGATAAAATAAAAATACCATAAATTTTGACCATAAAGTTTAAGCAGACATTCTGATCATACATGACAGGAAACACTGGGTATTGTGGCTTGTATTGTTTTGTTGCACCATAAAAGAAGAAACTCACAGAACTTTGAATGTGATTCAGTGGTTGAATTAAAAATAGTGGTTGCTCGGTTATCACTTACTTGTCCAAACAGTGCCGGCTACTTGCTGTAGGCAAAAACCTGTAACTCAGTTTGTTTTCAACCTAGCTTGTCATGAATTTCAGTTTTAGTTTTGGCTAAAAAGTTTAATTTGGGTGCATAGTTAATGCATTTGAAATACTAGTTCTACAACAGCAATTGAACCAATGGACACTTTAAATTACCTCAGTGTTATGGGATCGGCATAAGCATTGAACCACTTTTCACTGCTAATATGATGATGCATTAATGAACCCATGGTCCATGTGAGTGACCAGGATTTTATTCCATAGGCTTGTGGAAGAACTTGAGGTGACAAAGTCTGTTTATTCTGTTTTGGCTTTTGGCTCAGCCAAGGAGGTGTGCCCTGTCTGATGAGCTTGTTGTTCAGGCTCTGTGTGCAGCCTGGAGCATCTCGTGCCTTCAACCTCAGGCAACACTGAAAAATGCCACCTTGTGACAAAGCTGAGATTGTGTACAGCGTGCTGTCCAGTTGGGCTCACAGCAGCCACACAGTCTGGCCAAAGTTATGTTGCGTGGCTTGTTTTTCTTAAGCGGGGGGAAGCCCACTGACTTGCCGTTCAGCTGCAGATATGTTATGTTGGGCCCATCCCTCAAACAGACATTCCAAACGGCGGCGAGAATAAAAAGGTCAGGCCAGTGCCACAGCTCTCGGGGGCTCATTAACGGACTTGCTCGTATACCTGTGCTCAAGAATCAGCCAGCACGCAAATATAGGCCTGAAAGAAGCAACCCACAGGACTAATGATCCAGCCTCTGCGCTCTCCACACGCCCTCTAAGTCGCTATGAGGAGATCAGTATTTTTTTCCTGGAACAAAGTTGACCCAGTGGACATAAACATGCTCAACCTCTGACCCCGAGCCAGTTGTGTTGAAGGGTTCGGGTCAGCAATGCGGATGGAGAGTGGCATTAAGTGCATGCTGTCCGGTCATATGTTAGCCAGCCTGATGAAGAGAAAAGGACGGCTTCATGATGTTAAATCATGTAAACACAGAGGTGTAAGGAAGGAAATGCAGGAGCTGTATGAATTATTTTAATGTGCTTCAGTAATTACTCGCAAACCAGTGTGAGACTGCATGTATATGTATACATGTGTGCACTCTCTCTTCTTTGCATTTGTTCTCTCTCTATTTAAAACAGCTGGAAGTCAAAGTGACACGCTGCCAAAGTTTTATGAACATTTTAAATAATACTGTTTTGGGGCTGCAGTTGTAATCACCTTGTGGTTTACATTAGCACACAGAGCTGGCTAATTAGCTCATCAGAAAAGCTGAGCTCTTTCCCAGTCTGACCCAGAAGACGCTCCACTCTCCATGTCCCGGGCCAGGCAGCCCTTTTGTGCTGTTCTTGGACCAGGATCTTTAACCACTGTAAAAGAGACCACAATGCTGGTAGTAAGCCAGTGAGTCAGCATTGTGCTCCAGAGACAGTGCTGGAGTAGTGTTAAGGAGTGCACTGCCTCAGGTGAAGCCCAGGTAGTGCTGTCCAGCTGGTTTAATTCAGCTTAGTGTGTGACTGAGGAGAGTGATATCAACCAAATCAGCTCAATTGCCCTGAAGTGATGTTACAGCAGCTGATTTGGTGACTTGCTCAAAGTAGGTACAGCTGGATCTAATTATTACATATTGATTTATGCATGTTCCTCATGGAGCTTGATTCATTTTTCTTAGAAAATTTGCCTCACAGTCATTAATCTTCAAACAAAATTCTGTGTAAATTCTGTAAACAAAAAATAGAACAAAAATATTACATTTAATGTTTTACTTTATCAACAGTTTTTTTTTACACTCATTCAGAAATTGATGTCTGCAGCACTTTTAAAGAAAATTAAGACAGGAACAATTTAAGATGAATACTGCCGACTTCTCTGGGCTTGAGCTCATTTGAAATGGACTGATGTGCTTTGTGGTCTGACGAGTGCATCTTTCGGATTATTTATAGAAATAATAGACATTGTATTCTCCGGAAAAGAGCTTGTTACCAGCATACAGTTTGTTACCAGAATACAGTTCATAAGCCAGTATCTGTCATGGTTTGGGGTGGGTGTTAGTGGGTATTTTGCACATCTAGGATGGCACTATTAATACTTGGTGCATTTACATGGTCTTGGTATTCTGATAATTGCAGATAATCAAATTTTGTCAGTAATTCATTCAATATATTTGCAAACACTTGTGTAATCAAATAATGGGGAAAACCCCAGGTCTACATGAGTGAGGTAATGATAATAAACTCCAATAAACTTAAAGAGTGACGTAAACTTAATGTAAAACTCAAATGTTATGCCTCAACTTTATCAGAGAACTTGAATATACATCATCTAGAAGTTGAAGAATATTCAGATTCTTCATTTCGTCAAGCATGTAGATGGTTTCAGCGTCGCTCCAAAAGTGTTTTGTTGCCGTCTCGTGGGCTCTGTTATGCTGCTAGCTGTTTCCTAGACAGCGCTCTGTTTTTGCACATGAGAAAATTGAAAGAAATCAGAGTAAGTCTATACATGTGCTGAAAAACCTAATTACTTGGTTAAAATCCTGGTTTCTTAATCAACTTTTTAGAAATTCAATAACAGCCTTATTCTAGACTTTGATTTCTTAGACTTTCTCCAGTCTTTGAAATCGGGGTATACCATTTACATCATCACTTGAATAATCAGATAACTGCTGAAATCTAATAATGATCATATTAGTGGTGTGCATGTAAACGCATTCACTGAAAAATATATACACATTTTGGAGAAACGTGCTGCCTTTTAGACACTGTCTTTTTCAGAAATGTCCATGCTCATTTTAATATGACAACTCCATATACATTGTGCACATGTTCCAACAGAATGGCTGCATGATGAGAGAGTGCGGGTGCTAGACTTGCCTGCCTGTCTCCTATTGAAAATGTGTGGTGCTTCATGAAGCGTGAAATATGGCCCCCTTACAGCTGCATCGCTAAAAACTTGAATGGCTTCAAATTTTGATTTCAAAACTGGATCAGTATGTGTCTTCTGTTCTCAAATGTTTCTTAAGTGTTGTTAAGAACAAGATGATATAATACAGTGGTAGGCATGCTTCTGTCCCATGGTTTTTGGAAATGGTGTACATTTACAAAAAAACATTCTTCATAAAGTAAACCGTCAAATATTGTCTCTCTGTGCTGTTTTCATTTTTGTTTAATACAGGTCAAACAGAATTTACTAATCACTGCTTTCTGTTTTCATTGGCATTTCACATACTGTCCCAACTTTTTTGGAATTGGGTTTGTAGAATGCAGAAGTGATCACGGAAGAAAATACCACAGAGGTTCTCTTCTCTGCATCATTGTGATCGTCTGCTTTAGGTCTATGGTATCTTCTTGAGACAACAGTGCCATACTTGCTTTATATGTCATATTTAAACGAAGCTCACCAAGTTCTGAGTAACCCCATAACAAGTCTTGCAAGCCAGACCTTTGACTGTTGTAGTGTCTGGTGACTTTCTTTACTTAATGTGGCCAAGAAATGGCTACTTTGACAGAAAAGGATCCTTAGTCTGACATGCAAGACAAACAAACACAAACTTTCAAGATGGTTCTGCAAAGGGCTGTAGTACCAATTCCAAAAAAAGTTATATTTAAAAGTTACATTATATGGGCAACAGTGTGTGGACACCCCTCTTTATCATTGAGTTCAGGTATTTCAGCCACACCCACTGGTAACAGGCATGTAAAATATAGCACATAGCCATGCAGTCTCCATAGACAAACAGTAGAGAGTAGGCAGTAGGCAGTAGAATCGGTTGTCCTGAAGAGCTCAATGACTTTCGTTGTGACGCTGTCATAGGAAGCCACCTTTGCCACAAGTCATTAAGATGATGAAATTTCTGCCCTGCTAGATCTGCCCCAGTCAAATGTGTTATTCTTGTGAAATGGAGGTGTCTAGGAGTAACAACAGCTCAGCCATGAAGCAGCAGACCATGCAAACACGCAGAGCAAGGCCACCAAGTACTGATCAGTTTTCGATTACATTACTTACTACAGAGTTCCAAACTGCCTCTGGAAGCAACATCAGCACAAGGACTGTGCACCGGGGTCTTCCTGAAATGGATTTCCTTGGCTGAGCAGCTGCACACAAGGCTAAGATTACTGTGCGCAATGCCAAGCGTCAACTACAGTGGTGTAAAGCATGCCGCCACTGGACTCTGGAGCTTTGGAAGCACATTATCTGGAGTGATGTATCACTCTTCACTGTCTGGCAGTCTGATGGATGAATCTGGGTGAGGTGGACGCCAGGAGAATGTTACCTACTAAAATGCATAGTGCCAACTGTCAAGTTTAGTGGTGGAGGGATAATGGTCTGGGGCTTGTCTGTAAGATTTGGACTTGGCCCCATGGTAAGGTTTTAGATAACTATATGTTTACAACTTTGTGGCAACAGTTTGGGGAAGGCCCTTTGCGGTTCCAGCAACACTGTGCCCCTGGGCACAAAGTCCATGAAGTCATATTTTGATGAATTTGGTGTGGAGGGACTCCAGTGACCTGCACAGTGCCCTGCCCACAACATCACTGAACATCTTTAGGATGAATTAGAATATCGATTGCAAGCCAGGCCCTCTTCCAACATTAGTACCTGACCTCAAAAATGCTCTTTTAACTGGGCATAAATTCACACAGACACACTCTAAAACCATATGGAAAGCTTTCCTGGAAGTAGGGGGAGGCTGTTGTAGAGGGAATCAACTCCATGCCAATGCCCATAGAGATTGGAATGGGGTGTCCAACAAATTTATGTAGTTGTGATCATTAGGTGTCCACATACTTTTGGCCACCTAGTGTTAGTACTATCTCTAGTTTCCACATTTGTATTGAAAAGAAAAAAAAGGTAACTTTTTTTTTTTATTCAGCCTTTATCTTTTTACTGACAGTGTTGTCACAGTTGCTGGTAACTGCAAATTTTGGTTTGGGATTCTGCACAGAAACATATTTACATGGATAGATAACATGCATGTAACTGACAACGTTCCAGTAGTTGTGACTCTCTTAGCAAACAGTAAATATCATACCTCTCTGGATGGAGTGTTTCTGGCTGAGACTGCCCTGAAGCTGTGGTGTTATGAGTGTTTTGTTATAAAGTAGGTTTCTGAGTTACACTAGCATAGCAGTATGTGAAATGCATGTGTGATCCCTATACTGGCACTGCTGTAATGGCATCACAGGACTTTTCAGATATTGTTGTTTGTGCCTGCTTACCTAGACCTTCTATCCTCGACTCTCACACACTCACACTAATGTCAGTAGTCTCAGTGGTGACCCTGAGGCACTCAGTCATACTGACATGTTTAATAAATACTGTCTGTGAGTCGGCTGATACCATCTCCTCTATACAGAGACTGGGGGTTCTGTAGTGGGACCTCTCTCTCCAAAGCTGAGGAGACCCTCACAAGTCCACCACAACAACCCCAACTAGTTATATATTCTAGTCATAAATAGAACCTTTGTCTTTTGTCTCTTTATGCTTTTAAATAGGCTGTGTGCACTTATTGTCGTAATGTAAACAGTATAGAGTAGTCTGGCTAGAGGTTTGAAATGGCCCGATAACCCATGACCCTAATATACTTCAGTACTTCGATTTGTCTGGTCATTACATGTGTATCTGCAAGAACTGATAGGATGATTGATAATAATAATAATAATAATAATAATAATAATGTTTATTATTATTATTATTATTTATTATTATTATTATTATTGTTGTTATTATCACCCTGGACCCCATATAGTTGATTAATAGTAATAAAAAACATAAGAATAATACTAATAATAATAACATTAATAATTATACCTCTTTCACAGGCTGTTCTAGGAGCAGAGGGGTTATCTCTGGCCTTCAGACACATCGTGAGTTCTCTGCTGTGGTTCTGCTCTCAGAACAGCTCAGAGGAACTTTTGCATGAAGTCATCATCTGTGTGGGTTACTTCACGGTCAACCACCCTGACAACCAGGTGAGCTTTCTAATTTTGTGATTTGTATAGATAGCTAAATGTGATAAGTTATGGACGTTTTTTTGTATATTTGTTTCCATTATTTTAGTCTTTATAATGCACAAGCCCTTTGTCATATATGCCATGAAAATGAACAACAAAGATATGCAACTTATAGGTGGTAAAGCATTTTAAATTATACTTTAAATGTTCCAAAGATGTTTGAATGTTTGAAATAAAAGCGAAAAGTATTGTTATATTATTCTATCACATTTTGACAATTACAGTTTATGTAATTTCCTAAACCTCTTGTGCTGTTTATGTGGGGAGTACTGTTAAGCTTTTGTAAGCTGCTCATTAGATCATGAGCCTGGTGTACTTTTCTCCTTACAAACAACCGACACAAAAGCAACAAAAGGAGGGTGTTGAATAATGCAGCGGCCGTGGCACCTCTGTGCTGCGTTCTGCCCTGCTGCAGAGACAGGCTTTGTTTTCCTCAGTCTGGCAGTTGGCCTGCTCGTTGTTTGGGCTTTAGTAGGATGCTGAACCTGCAGGTGCGGATCACAGAGCAGTGTGGCATGAAGCACACATGTTCCACTATGTTCCACTTCCCTGCCCCCTGGCAAGCTACATGGTCAGTGACAGCACCTCCTCACTCAGCCAGGCTTTAGTTATGTGAGTCTCCTGAGGATCCACTGCTGTGATGCTGTAATATCCTCAAGGGAGGGTCGAAAGTCCCAGCAATTTACGGGCTTATTCCAAATTCTAATTTAAAACATTTTTGCTGTTAATTAAAGGAACGGCCTCTATTTTTATGGCAGTTCAGTTCTCCTCTGCCGCTCCAATCCAATTTAATTATTTTGATGTACGTAATTAGCATTTGTTGGCCATTGTTGGACTGATTTGCATATTATATTGGATAATTGAATGAGGGCTGATGATTGAATTAGGTAGGGAGTGACAGATGATTGGGTTTTGTGCTCACATGGGGGGGGAGGTAACGCAACGACCAGGCTGGGAATTGCACCTTTTGCATATTCATTTATCCCCGGCCCACTTTGCTAATTTGAAAATTGCTCCAGCAAAGTCTTTAAACTTCTGACTTCTTTCCAGGACGCAAGCTGTTTTTTTATGTCACCATTTGGCGGAGCCTCAGTTTTTATCATTAAAAACAGCACCGGTGCTGGCAGGTGAACAGCTGTAAAGAAGTTGTAGTGGGTCTCAGTTTTACTTTTTTTTTTTTTGTTTGTTTTGTTTTATTTTGGTTTGTTTTTTTGGGGGTTTTTTTTTGTTTGTTTGTTTTTTGAAATTCTGCAGATTCTATGTTAGGTATGTAATTGCGCAATTTCTCAAAAAACTGTTCTGAAACATTTCAACATTGAATTAATGTATTTCACCCTGGGGAATGTGACTTGGCTTTATTGCTCTTCAAAAATCCAGTTTCTTTGACTTCCGCGTGGACTGTGCTGCTTGCCAGTGACTCAGGCACTGTTGTATGTGCATGCACATCTTGTGTGGTGTAAATGCCTGGCTGGGCTTTGTCTTTCTCAGGATAATATAAGCACAGGTAGATCACAAAGGCAGCCCTGACCCCAGCCCTGGCTCCTGACACTCTGCTGATTCAGTGCCGACTCACCAGCCTGTGTTTATATATGTGTGTCTGAGAAATAATACAGCTCATAAAAGCAGCACAGGCTTTGAAGAGCTGCTCTGTCTGTATACCCGTTAGTCATTTTCCTCAAACACATAGCTATTGGTACAGTGACATATGCTCTGTGTTGGTGTCTGTGAAGTGTGTTTGTACTTGGGGGGGAATGATGACTTGTGGTTGATAGTCTCTGTGCTATGAAAGACAGTACATGAGAGCTTGCCTTTTGGCAGGTTTTAAAACATCTCTCATGTCCTAATTGCAGTTTTTAAAGCAGTAAAGTCCAACTCTTTTGCAATAGGTTTTAGAGATCACATTAGAGTTTTTCTTTTCATCACAATGTTTGTGTGACACTTGACATTGATGTATGAGTCACACAACAACTATTGTGAAGATCCTTTTTGGAACTAAAGAAACCATAACTGCAGTCTGGAGAAACAAGTATTCAGACACTTTTGTTTTTGTTATTTAATGCATTTAATATACCTCCAGTGCATATACCCACTTCGGGTTTACTCACATAATGTATTTTGACTTTATACTAATAAATATGATCAGAAGGAATGTATTTATGAGAATAAACAAAGATAAGAGAGGGACCCATTGGAGGGACTGTCATAGCCTTGGGCAATTGAAGATGGTTTGCCAAGAAGAATGGGCCAAAACTGAACCACATTGGGCCAAAAAGCTAATTATTTCTTATTGTAGATGTCTCATAGCTGTAATTACCAACATTGCCTCTGCAACAAGGTACTCATATTATTAATTTGTAGTGTTTGAATGCTTTTTTCCCCAGTGCTTTTTTTTAAAACATATCTTTGTTTATACTTATGAATAAATGCTTTTTGTTTGCGTTTATAAGCACAAAGATAAAATACATTGTGTGTAAATTTGAGTGGATAAATGCGCTGGAAGTATGTTAAATAACAAATGCAAGAAGTGTCTGAATACTGTTTCCCCTCACTGTATCTCTGTTAGCCACCCTGATATTCATGTATACATACACATTCATTTTTGGAGAGCAACAAAGAAACCTGTGAAAACTCAGTATAGGGGTCTTCCTAAAACTGTTTCCACTTTTTTTTCTTGTCTGGATAGCAGCCAGATAGCTCACTGACTGTTACATACAGGCAAGGCAAAGACAGATATCTCCTTTGGTTTGACAGCACCCATGTACTGTACCCCTAGTGTTTCTCCCATTACTGAAGGATTACAAGGCTTCATGCAGACAGCCACTTTTCAACACAGCACCTCCAAAGGGCCAGACGGAAACAGTCCACCACACTCATCTCCCCTTATCTCCCCTCTCACTCCCTCTCTCTTACCCACCTTTAGCTCTATCTCTTCTTCTCTTGTACTTTCATTCAATACTAACACCAGGGTATCTCCAGTACCCTGGAACCCCAGCCGCAGTCCTAATCCACCGTTAAACTGATGTTGAAACGCTGCCTTCAACAGTCCATTACTGCAGAGATAACCCAACCCTTCCCTTTGTGCCTGGATGACGTAGTGGGTCCAGAGTGGACTTCTGTGATCCATAGCTGGGAAAAGCATTTAGTGTCTCCCTCTCACACACTAGAAAATACAGGCAAGGGGTTCAGCCAGGCAGGCCTGAGTGGCAGCGGAGAGGATGAAGCCTCTGCCAAGTACCATGAAATGATTTACACAGTCCATCAACGGTAAACTGAGGCTTAACACGCTCAAGTATTATGTGTTGGGTTTCTTCTTTTCTGGACTCTCCTTTCATTTTTTGTTTGTTTGCCCATAAATCTTTCAGAATTTAGGGCCCTATTTAGGTTTAATGCTGTGTTTGAGTGCAGTCCAGGTCAGATGGGCTCCTGGGGAAGATCTCCAGAAGAGATTATCTTTCAAAGGATCGAAGATGACTCTTGATTCTGTCAGGCACCTGCAATAAATCACCAATCATTTTGCCTTTTTTCAAACAAACACAGCTCTTAATGCTGTTTTGGTATGAAACGTGTTCTTCCCATTTTAAGCAATGCTAACAAACGGATCTCCTTTCATTGTGCTTTTTACTTCCTCAATATTTATGTACGTGTGTACAGGGTGCCGTCAGAATGTCTGGAAAGACAGAGAGGCTTTGTAGCGTTTTTTGTAGATTGTCCCTGTGGGTGGTAGCCGTTGTTTCGAGTGCCCCTTCGGTGTCCTTGTGAGTCGTTTACCCTCTACTCTTATCAGGAAGTTGTCTGTACCACACACCCCACCCAACGCCCCCACTCCCCACTTGCTTTTTATTTATGCTGACTGTCTGCAGCACCATCTTTTGCTTTATTTCTTTGCCTTATCAGTCTTTGTATTCCATAAACAAAGTTGTTTCCTATGAGTAATTAACAAGCAGTCTTATTTAGCATCCCCTTTGCTTGAATGTGAGCCCGACTCCTCATTCTTATCAACAGTCCATCAAAGAACAAACCTGACCAACTTGAGTCTCCTTCCTCTTCACCCTGGGCTATTTGGAGTTTGTGTTTGCGTTTCGGAGCGTTAACTTTACACTCCCTTTGTTTTCAGTGGACAAGCCGGGAATTATGTAATAGACTGGCCATAAAAGCATGGGCCCTGTTTGAAAACACCAGCACTCTGTACTTAAGAAAACACAGGACAGGCCCTGCCTCTGTGTTTCTTTATGGCCATTTGTGCTTAAGGAGGAGGGGGATGCACGAGTTCAAACACCCACCGGTGCTTTTATGATGTCAGGGCCTGAACAGATACCTGGCCGCTGCCGGTGGAACTTGACTGAGGCTCGGTCAGGAACATGGTGATTAACTCTTGTCCAAGCGGAGACCGGGGGGGTTTAGAGGGCATTCAAGGCTGAAGGTAACCTCTGCTCTCTCCATGCTGTACGTCTCCCTGCCTTGGACACTCGAGGGGGGCACAATTTGTTTAGGCATGTGAAGATGGAGCACTGCGTGCTGGGGGATTATGAGATGGCCGCTTGATTTGTGGGCGGAATATCTGCAGAGTTCCAGCCCCCGCCGCCCGACACACACACACATACATACCCTCATGCTTACCCAACACCCTCTCTGAAGTTGTGAATGCTTCTGTTTATGGAAGGTGAGTGCCAGGGTCTAGTAAGGTAAATGGGTGTCCGGTACTTTTAAAGCATTGTAATTTGTAACAGTCTGCTAACTGATGAGGAATAGGGCATGTGTCTATACAGCTCCCTCTTTTAGCCTAGGAGTGATGGGAGAGATTAGCTCAGTACTCCCCAAGCTTATAAAAAAAAACCTTCTCAGCCATGCCCTCCACCCTGACACTGCACAGCTCTTCCATTGAAAACAACCAGATCTTTTGAACTATTGCTTCATTCAGTTGCACTGCTATGGTGGCGCAGGAAATCCACTTTTTTCTGCATTCCTGGGGGAAACGACCATTAATTATACGTCAGAGAGAAGCCACTGGATCTTAGTGTTTGGTCAGCACATACCGGTGGGCTTGTGGGTCTGAAACGAGCCGACAGTCAGCTGTTTGGAACTTTTAGTACCATTAAAGGGGCTCAGCGGTGGTTTGTTTGAGCCACTCAGTAAAGCATCTTTAAACTGTCGCTAATACAGAATGACGTTGCCTGAGAGCCCTTTGAACGCTGCTGTAGGACTCGTCCGTGAGGGGCCTTCACCTTGAAATGATAAAAGAATTGAGTTATCACTTTGTTTATCATGCTCTTAAACCCTTTAAAGTACATTATTAAAGGACAGAATGCAATGGAAAGAGTATTGTTAAGAGTATTTTTACAAATCTTGTAAATCTTTGGTAATTTATGTCACCCAGTGTTTCTGGGAAGTTCACCCCGCCCTTCTGGTTTGCATTTAGGGTTGAACTGCAGTGGAAGGGTGTGTGTATGGAAGCTCTCTCTCTCTTGCTCTCTCTCTGTCTCTCTCTCTCTCTCTCTCTCTCTCTCTCTCTCTCACTCTCTTTCTCTCTTTCTTTCTCTCTCTCTCTCTCTCTCTCTCTCTCTCTCTCTCTCTCACCCCACTTGCACTCCCTTTCCCCTTTTCCACTGTCCCTCTTCCTCTTTCCCTCTCTCCATCTCACCTGTTGGAATTTATGGTGGTGACCTCTTGGCTCCCTGCTCCAATCACAGAGAGCTAAGGGCCTTTCCTGGTTCTCAGGCTTGAGCTGAAGGCCTCTCTCGCCCAAGGTCTCTCCTTTAATCAGGCCTGCCTGGGAGTGATTTGGTTTTAATGCTGGGGGACCGGATGTGATGGTATGATTGACTGCCGTGCTGAGGGGGGTGGCATGCTGGTGGTGCGAAACTCCATTAATGGTATTGCTTCATTTCTTAAAGTGGAAGGAACTGTGTGTGTGACCATGGAGGGGAGTCTGCCCACCCAGCCCCCACCTTTGCCCTGGTCCCCTTCTTTTTTTCTTTTTTATTTGCACCACTCGCCCTCTGATTCTCTGCCACACACACCTTGGGAAACTCTGTGATGTTACCATTATGTGAACTTCAGTGGTATGTTGATACTTTGGGGCTTTTTTAGTTGTTATCATGATCATCAGCACGTTTCTTTCCTCTAGCTCGATGAATGATGTGGTGACCCTACATGTTATGGTGGTTTCTCTACACTAATACACCTGATTCAACTAACAGGCCCTTTCCGAGTCAAAATGGGTATGTTAGTGCGTGAAAAACGCCAACATAAGCAGGGCAGGGAGCAGATGATCAGAATGACCAGAACGGGAAACACCTGAGGTACAGTGAATGCAATGTCTAAGCGTCTGCTCTCGATGGAGCCTGTAAGCATTCAGCGTGCACTTGTGCCACAGCAGGAGGTGCTAAGGCATCCCTGTCTGGGTTTATGATGTGTAATTGTGTACTGGGAGGCTGTGCCCTCTATTTCTCCTCTTAATGGCTGTTTGTGTGTTGTTTTAGTGGCAGATTTACGCGTGGGAGGGACACGAGGGGAGACTCTGATTTACTACTGGATGTGACGTTTGCTTGATGTGTGTGTGTGTGTGTGTGTGTGTGTGTGTGTGTGTGTGTGTGTGTGTGTGTGTGTGTGTGCGCGCACGCATGCTTTCTCCCTGTGTGTTCCAGGTGATCGTGCAGTCTGGCCGGCAGCCCAGCGTGCTGCAGAAATTGTGTCAGCTGCCGTTCCAGTACTTCAGCCACCCACGCCTCATCAAAGTGCTCTTCCCCTCACTCATCAGCGCCTGCTACAACAACCAGCAGAACAAGGTCATCCTGCAGCAGGAGATGAGCTGTGTGCTTCTGGCCACCTTTATACAGGTACAGCCTTAAAACTCTCTAATGCTCTAAAACTCATCCAGATAAAACCCAGCAATGTACGCTGTCCCTCTCACACACATGAGCACGTACATGTTTATTTGCACACCATCATATTAATAACAGGCTTTTCTATATTCTGTATACTCATACATCTTGGAGTGCAATGGTTATTCAGCAAAGTTGATGTCATGAAAAATTAGAACTGTCAAAGCTGTTAACATTTTAAATTATTAACAGCACTTTTTTATAATCTCTTTGCGCATTTTTCTAGTTTGACCCTTAATAACAACCATAGTAGTGCCAGGGAGTCTGGATTTAGCCAGCATTATGAGAAATTCAGCAGACTGTGCTGGACAGTGCTTGTGGCAGATCTCTAGATAAGTCAATGAGGAGCAAACTATCAGCAGCAGTATAAAAGTAGAAAGCTACAGTTTACCTCAAGAGCCTCCATTATAACAAAAATCCTTGAGCTATATGAACACCAACAAGAATGACCACAGTCATGAAGGAAAAGAAACCATGTTGAAACTGTATGTGTGACGTAAATGGTATATACACTCATTGATTGGAACATGCAGACCCTGTTGCTCTCATTTAATGTTGGTGATGAAAATTGGAAGTTAACGTGGAAATCATATGACTTTCATGTTTGGGTTTATGTGAGCCCTGATTTCACATTATAAAAATACTGTTATTACATTATTAAAATAACAAAACACTTTAACAAAACACACTACTTTCTAAATGGAAAAATCGTTCTTCAGGGTCCAGTTTGAGCAAACAAGACAAATGCAATTAATCACAAGTATTTTAATCGTTTGACAGCCCTAGAAAATGTAAAATAATTCATAGTGGTCTTTAATGTCCTATTATGTTCATATTATACCCATAGTCCTTCTGACAGATTGCAGTATACTACCAAAAGTGTCAGGGGCAAGATGGCTTCTGTTGTATTGTTGCGCTGTAAAAGAAAAAACTGCTCAAAACTCAGATGGAACTTTGAGAAACATTGGCCACGTAAGCTGTGGAGCCAAAGAAGATATAAGAGTTAAGTTTAAATTAGTTGAGTAATTGAATGATAGTCCAAAGGTTAAAAGATTACTGAAGCAAATGTTCGTTGTAGACCTACACACATCTGTGTGTATTTGCTTACCAACTGTCCAAAGGTCTGAGAAAGGATGTGTAGCTGTCAAGAAGTTGTTACTGAGAAAGAAAATAGACCCAAAAAAATGAAACAAAGCAGCTGCTCAGAACAATGGACTGACCACTCCAGAGTCCAGACCTCAACATCACTGTGTTGGGGTTATTTGGATTGTGAGAAGTTCACCCAACTTCTAACATGGAACTTTGAAGGTATGGAAAATATCTCTAAAACAACAAGTCTCCTGAAAAGAATAGAAGCTGTAATAAAGGCAAAAATTAATATTATATTTAATTGTTCTGCTTTATTATATCTTTATTATATTTGGTTGTTCTGTTATGTTTTGGCTTCTGTGTAATTTTCCATTAAATATTTTTCTTTTTTTTCTGGCATTGAAAAATGAACAAGTACTTAATGACCATTTTGACTGGAAATTAAATAAATGACGGGTGGTCTCTAACTTTTGCACAATACTGTAAGTCTAATTCTTCTCTTTTTTTAACTGTAGCTTTACTCATCCATCCAAAAAGAGGGTTATATTTATACAGTTTTATCATGTTTAACACCTCTCCAGCTGAGCCTCATCTCCTCATCTCACCTGTCTTCTGACCTGTAACACAAACATACACCTTTCCACTGCTTCTGCACAATGTCAACATTGGACTCTTATCTCTCAAAACTGAGGCTTTGTCTCTGTTTGGCCTTTTGTTTTTCGCCGCTCTCTGCCCCCTTTCTAAAGAAGCAGCCTCCACTGCACAGATGGATGGCTTCCTCTGTCGATTTGAGTGGATTTACCTGCCACCGGTTGAGCCTCTTGTAAACAGGCCGACTCCTTCATCTTCCCTCTGACAAGCTTCCCCACGCTGGCCCGCTACCTACATTATATATGTGGAGATTAGCACTCACCCTGACAAAGATAGGCGATTGTCATTTAATTCAAACAAGGGCAAGATCCACAACGTCCTGTACAGTGGCTTAACTTGGTGAACACTAAGAAGATCTGTGACGTGTGGTATTTTTTTAAATTGATCGCTCAAATCATAAAAATTACATTGTCTTAATTTGAGTAAAAAAAATTTGAATGAAGCTATTTTTAATTGCTAGCATTATTATTATTATTCTTACTTTCCAACTAAGAACGTGTGGCTGTGCTTTTGTCATATTTTAGTTTATAGTTCAGTTAGATTTGCTGCATAAGAATAAACTCTGCAAATAAGGTTTCACAGACTAGAGCTGCAGTACTGATCATTTAATGCAGTATAGAAACTGATTTCTCCTTTTTGAATGGCTCAGCGGTGGGCTTATATGTTTTCGGGCTTATATTCTTTCTTTTTTCTTTTTTTCCTATAGGACTGTGCCTCCAGCGAGAACCAGACAGACAGCAGGCCAACACAAGGTGAGTCTCTCAACATTATTTTTCACATCCCCATGCTACCTTCCTTCTATTACAGAAATACAGTTTATGTAATTATCTGAAAAACTTGTGGAAGAGTTTGTAAAATCTTAGCTGTAATCTGATTTAGATGTTCTCAATGCCAGAGCAATTCGTCTCTTATCTGTTCTTGTTCTCAGTGCTAGAATAAATCTTGTCCTACCTGTTTTATTTAATGGCTATTTTCTCAAAAATGTGAAACCCTTCAGTTTGCACAGGACAAAAAAAAAATCCTTTTCTTGTTCTTGCTGAGCTGAGAATCTCCAAACATTGATGCAACATTTCCAAGGAATTTGCACATTCAGTTCACTTCACTACTCCTTCTTTCTCCCACAGAGAGGAGCTGTGCTGCGCTGGATTACTGTGAGCTCTCCAACCGATTCCCCAGAGAGCAGTGGGACTCCGCACTTCACTTCTTCCTCAACAAGCAGGAGGAGTGAGCCAGAGGAGCTCACACTGGACTACATACTCTGCAACAAAACGACCATTCGTACCAGCACATTTACTCTAAGCACTACATCTCTACGTTGAAAAAAAAATGAATTTCACTTTTTTCCTGTACTTCTTTAATTACTGGGTTAGTGGGCTTCTAGCCAAACCTTACAAATATGACCCCTGCATGTATCAACTGAATTTTGTTTTGATTTTATTAGCTCTGTTTAATAACGGTGCATTAACAAAATAATGACATAGTAGATGTAGCCGAACTTTTTTGAACGTGCAATGCTGACATCACACACTGTAATAACAAACTGTTTGCACAATGCAGGTACTTAAGGGCAGTTATAACAAGTCGCATTTACAGAGTGATCTGAATGTATGAATATATTTCTTGTGTAAATATAGTTATTAGGGTCGTCGATATGAAGTGAAATTTGTCTTCTTCCGAAAGAAGAGATCCATTGAAGCGGATTTCTGGAATGCACAATAGTTTACTGTTCCTCTCCAAGCTGGATATAGACCTTAGTGTTTTATAAATTATAAGCTATGTATTTTGTTTTGTAAATAAAAGATGTTTGAAGAATATTTCACAAGAACTCTTGCTGTTCAGAGAGTAGTCAGTTACTTTACGGTTCTTGGTGAAATCACTATGCATAAAAAAGGAACAATGAAAATCGCTTTCAAGAGTTGACATGAGTCCTGATTTCTTTACTGTTTTTCATACTTGTAATTTATATAGTCTTGAGTATTTGACCACGTGTGTGTGTGTGCCTCTGTCTCTCTCTCTCTCTCTTTCTCTCTGTGTGTGTGTGTGTGTGTGTGTATATATGTATATATATATATATATATATATATATATATATATATATGTGTGTATGTGTGCACACACACATATATAAATATTAACCATAATTTACTTTTCATAAACACTGTGTAAGCCATATTTATGTTGCTGTTATCCTTGTTTTCTTTGTACTGAGAAGTGAAGCACTTATAATTTATGGAATTGATTTTTTTTCACATTTAATAAAATATTTAAGGCATATTTGTCCTTGCTGTCATGCTTTTAGAAACGCTGTCAAATAAAAGGCAGTTGACTAAAGACATCTGCATGGGTACAGCTAAAAAATATCAGTTTTTCTGACCGATCAAAGGTTGTTAAAGCTGCGATCGCAATGGGAACAGATTGTTTCTAGAACATACTGTTGTATGTGATCCTAACATTTAACACAACTATATTATTATTGCAGACATTTTCATGTTTTCATGAAACTAGCATGACAGTATAACTGTTTGTCTCCCTGCCCCCCTTCACTTACACTAGTCAGACATGTAATTCACCTGTAGAAATGAACTGAGAAATGAAATGTGCCTTTGCATGTAGAAATAGGACAGAGGTTGAACTGTTGTAGAGTCGTTGTAGGCTTTGCTATGTTTCAGTAAGTTGTCTAACTCCTGGATAAGCCACTGAAATCACTGAAAATCTGACATGAGTGAAACTCCACAGTGAAAGGCCAAAGGCTTCAAACCGGACTCAAGTCTTTGCTGGCCCCAGGTCACCACAAACAGCCTGCTCTCTCTCTCTCTCTCGCTCTCTCTCTCTCTCTCTCGCTCTCTCTCTCTTGCTCTCTCTCTCTCTACCTGTATGCAGCTATAACACCCCTGCCTCTGAGTCACATTGTACATTAGTGTGTCAACATGAGCTGGAGCCTCTCGGGTCAGATCCTCCTCCACAGTCTCTCTCTCTCTCTCTCTCTCTCTCTCTCTCTCTCTCTCTCTCTCTCTCTCTCTCTCTCTCTCACACACACACACACACACACACACCCATCACTCCATTCAGAACTGCGGCTCCACGACAATAAATCTGTGTCGTGTGTGTGAAGAAAGAGAGATATTGTCTTAAAAACGGCAAAGCTCCACCAGTTTCGCTTGGCTTCAGAACTTTCGAAAGCGTGTTGAGTTTAACGCCTGAAAGGAGAATTCCATCGAATTTTCAAAATTTCTGCATAATCCACTTGTTATGATAGAAACACGGTCATTCAGAGCGGTTTGAAGTGAAGTGCTCCGTTCTAGACTTCACAGTGATGGTGATCGGAACCAGAGGTGTGGAGAGTTTCATGCTTCTAAAATCTCCCTCACAGTAAGCTGTTACAGTAACTGGCTATGAGCACAGTGCCTGATACTTCAGATGTTGTTTCACGATAGTTGTTTGACCATTTTTAACCCATTTATGGAGGAAGACGTACACGCAGGGCATTTTTTAGATTTACGACTACATATAATAATCCATAAAACATGTTTGGTTACTCGTGTTGTAGACATTGTGAGCCCTACTAAAGAAATTAGTCGACAAGTTTTTTTTTACAATGACTCATTTCATCAAACAATTCTTAAGGACCGTTCTCTTCCAAAAAAAAAAAGTCACGTGAAAAAAAACACGTGGTTTTTGCACACTTCTCATTGAAAATGTGTGTTTACATGTAAATAACGTGTTTTTATGTGAAAAAAATGTGATCACATGAAAAACGTGTGAATACTTGTAAACACGTGGTTTTTGCACACTTTCCGTGTGAAATATACGTGACTTTCTACCACTGAATTGTGCAGAGTTTTTGAAAAATCAGTGGATTTCCCCTTTGGTAAAAGTTTCTTGCTGGACCCAAATGTAGTCTTCGAGGCACTCTGGTTTGTGCATACTTGGCATGCAGGTTTATGTGGTGATCTAGTCCCTTTTAAAGAAGTGGCTGCCTTTACACTCCACTTTTTAAACCATATTCTGATTTAGATATTCAACGCGTTCTATCACGCCCTCCTTCCGTTACCTCACTGAGCCACCACCCAGCAGAGAGCCTGCAGAGGGGACGCAAATGTGATTATCGGGCTGGTGGTCTTCATCTCCTCCATGTGGACTTATTCTGTGGGATGGTGAAGGACCTCTCTGCATTACACCATCTGTTTTCAGAGGGTCGCTCAGGACAGCTAATGGAGAATAGAACTGGATCAGCTCTGTTTACTTTCGTTCGGAAGAGTGCCCACCTTATCTACACGACAAACGCCGATAGGGGGTCTTATTCGGCCTCTGTAACGCGTTAGGCAGGGAAAGAGCCGGACATTCATTCAGGTGTGAAAACGCGAGATCACCAGACTGTAGCATCACATCAGAGCAGAGAGCAGACTTCAGTCCTCACTCTTTACCAAGTTTGCGTTTGACTTTGCCGGTTAAAAGGGGTGACATTTGTTTTTGAGCAGTGGATTTTTGTTTAAGACTGTAGACAGTTTGTCTTTGATTTGCTTCCCCGCGAAAAAAGAGGATGACATTTGTTTTTAGGTAGAGAAATGTTTGTTAAGAGGGCAGAGTGAACAGACAGCGCCCTCTCCTCTGGCCGCTAAAGTGTCCACTCTGCCCTCTGACTGCAGGTGAAGGGTCATCAGAGCGCGCTCCGCTCAGTTAGTACTTACTTTAGTTTTTACGCATTATTTATGTAACAAAATAAATTGAAATAATACTTGTTGAGGAGAAGTAAGTGATTGTAGCTCGTAAAACGCCGCCCTGTCCAGTTCTTGGTCGCAGGTGGGCTGGAGAAGCTGCAGATCTACTGAGCGATAAAACAACGTTTCAATCATTCGAATCTAAAACGCAGAAAATCTGGGTTCGATTAAATTACAGCTTTAAAAGCAAGTCAACAACACCAAGAGCAGAAGCCCGGATTGTGATGTTAAGAGAGAATGAGAACCGGTCTGATAGAATAGCTGCGATAAAGTCAGGGCAGTAGAACAGTCATGTGAGTGTCTCACACATGTTAGTAAAGACGGGCTTTAACTCTGGATAGACTAAAACAGCCTCATAATGATGATGTACACCGTTTCTGTGGGTGGATTATATTTATAGAAACGTCCTTTCATTGAATTCCTCCCTTAATAGAATTCAGAAAGGAATTTGAGCTGAAATTCCAGTTTTAGACTTCTCTGGTTCTCCATTACAATTTCCAAAAAATATTAAACTACAGGCTCCAAAATAAATTTTAAGATGCTTTACGTTCACTGAGGTGACGAATTAAACTCGGCAAGAACGAACGAACACTAAGCACATACTTTATGCACCACAAGAAATATATATATATATATATATATATATATATATATATATATATATATATATATATATATATATATACCCATATAATTTCTTCATTTCTTCTTCATAAATGTGGAAAATATGGTACAATTTTAATTTAATTTGAATTAACTTTTTTATTACGTTACAATTACATTCTCTGCCTAAAACCTAAAAACACAATGTATATATATATATATATATATATATATATATATATATATATATAGTAGTGTAGTACGTCTTCAGTGTTCTTAAGTAGGGAATGTTATTCTAATATTCTAATATTCTGTTGCATTTTTTCGTTGACACTACACACTCTTCAACTCAGGCTTACTGTTATCATCTTCTATTTTAAAACGTTGGGTATGAAAAGGTACAAATGCGTGCCTTTCCCCTGATAAAGCGAAAAAAGGTACCTTTAAAACGTATTTAAGGTACACACTTGGACCTTTAATGGTACATTCACATTGCTTGTACCTTGGTGAACATAACCGTATACATAACCTTTTTTCTGACAGTGTATATTATATCGTCCTTTCGTCGTAAAAAAATGTAAAAATGTAGACCTTGTCTGAACAAATTGCCAGATTACCATCACATTATCACATGTTCTTTTCTCCTATCGCAGATTATAATAACACAGCGAGAGGCAGAGCTCTAATAGGTCTCAGGCTGACCTGACTCTCCTCAGCTCAGGACACTGATCGGAATGAAAATAAAGCCCGGAGGAGCTCAGAGGGAGATACTTTCCCTTCAGCACACACACACACACACACACACACACACGCACACACGTCTCCGGGCACTGGACGCGTTTTCAGGTGATGCCAGGAGCAGATAAGAGGCCGCCGCTCCACACTCAGGACTTTACAAGCAAAACTAACCCGATCACAGGGTGAACTCAATATCCGGACTGCAGCAGATACGGGCTCTGATAAGCCCCGCTGGAGCCCTGCCGCGGCCTGCGAAGGGTTAAAATGGACACTTCGGCCCTCCGTCAATCACTTTATAGCTGTTTGGCTCTGAGCCAGCATAGCGGCAGCCTATCACAGACAAACCGAGACCACTGGAGAACGAGGCTAGACCACCTCCCTTAGGCAAATCACGCGCATCACCCTCCTCTCCTGAGTTAGACTAGAAGAGGCTCGGCTACACGCAGCACTCTTGCAGCCCGCGTATATGAAACACAGCGTGCTGATCAGGATGAGCCATGCTTAGAAGCCTCCTGGCTTTTCTGTTCACCTCATTCTCTTCCATTTCATTTCACAAATATAAACCAAAACAGCAGCAGAACCCCGCTTTGTTTGGAAGCTGTAGCATTTCAGCAGAAAATGCAAACCAAGTGCGGCATGAAAGTGTCCTTAGAGCAGAGTGGGAGCCAACATGAGGACACTCAGGCTGAAGGCCTTTCACTGCTATTTAATTCTTGCTGCGGTTTGCCATCTTTGGCGTGGCGCTTGTAGTCTGTGCTGTGGCTGAAAACACGAACACACTCCTCCAGGGGGACTTTGGGTTCAACACATATAGGGATATAAGATGTCATTGCATGCAAACTTCCTCAGACATGAACATGAACACTTAACATAGTTTATTTAAGGTAATTTCTTAATTCTCGCGCGGACGGTTAAGTCCTCACAATAAATAACAATAACTTACGTTTTTTCTTTTTTTTTCTTTTTTTTTGTTTTCTCGAGAAGTTCAACACAATCTGTCCTCCATCCGTCGAGATAAAATATTTTACAGAGCAGTTTTTTGTTTTCTACATAGTCTTCGGAGATCATGCGCAGTGAGACAGAGTGTTCAGGTCTCGGTGAGTGAGTGAGGGCAGCGGGAGGTGGATGATAGAGCTACATACTGACTGACTGGAAGGAATACTGCTAAGACATTATCGTTTAAAAAAAGTTGTTGACAGTGGCTCAACTTGTTCATATTCCTCGGGCCGTCCTGGTTTGAGCTGGATCCATGGTGGTCGACGGTGTGGGAAAGTGGGCTTTGCTCCGTGTCTTCAGCGTTAGATCCACGGTGTGTGTGCGTGTATATGTTTGTGTGTGTGTGTATGTATCTGTGGTAATCCCTCGGTCGGTCCGCTCGGGGCTCATGCAGGGGTCGTCGCGCGGTGCATGCTGGGACAGGCGAGTGCGCGGGCAGGGCGGCTCGCGAGGTGTTCACGTTTCCACCGGACTGGCCACCATGCTGGTGGGGGTGTCCGGCAACTGCGACGACAGAGAGGTCACATCACTGGCCGAGGAGTTACCGAGAGAGCCCGACTCAGAGAAGGACACCTACACCCAGAGAGAGAGAGAGAGAGAGAGAGAGAGAGAGAGAGAGAGAGAGAGAGAGAATCAGAGAATTATCTTTTCATTTCAGTATTAGAAAAAAAACATTGTTATAGCGGAGATCTACAGCAATACTACAGTGATTTCTACAGGATTCTCATAAGAACATTATAGTAAATTCATAATAGTATAGCTTATTACAGCACACTACACAATTACTACTACAGGTTACAATAAAACTACTACAGGACATAGAATGTAGTCTATGAATATAATAATTTATAAATAATCTATTACCATAGATTACTATAAATTACTATACAGATTACTATAAAATTATGCAGGATATAGATAAAAAATATGTATATAAGGACATAACAATCTAGAGATACTGAAAATCTGTTAGATTACTATTCAGATTAAACCAGTATTATACGGTATAGATTATTACAGTCTAACATATATAATCTATTACTATAGGTTATTATACAGATTACTGTAAAACTACGCATGATATAGATAGTCTAAAGACATAGCAACCTATAGATAATCTGTTAATGTAGATTATTGTACAGATCAAACCAGCACTATTCGATGTAGATTATTGTGGTCTAATATACAATCTATTAATATAGATTATTATACAGATTACTATAAATCTATGCAGGATATATAGTTTAATAACATAGTGATCTGTAGATAACCTGTAATATAGATTACTGTACAGATCAAACCAACACTATACAATGTAGATTATTACAGTCTAATATCTACACAGATTACTATAACACTACGCAGGATATAGACAGTCTAAAGACATAGCAATCTATAGATATTCTATTAATATAGATTACTGTTCAGATTAAAACATTTGATTACTATAGTCTATAGTAATACATCATCTATAACCATGGATTACTGTACAGATTACTATAAAATAGAGATACAGTAGTATTACAGTAGGTGGAAATGTTACAGATCGTTAGGACAATATTATGCGGCACTTTAGAAATCTTATCGGTTCTTATAGTATCACTATAACCTTTACTTGTCAATACTACAGAAAGCCCTTAAAGGTGTCCCAGAGTTCCGTTCACTTCTACTTCATTCGTCACCGGAGTGGTTGGTTTTAACGAGGTACGTAGCTACAGCTTCGGCTAATACGACACGATCTGACTGTGTTTTGCTGTGTGATCTGCTGAACTGCTCTCGTTAGCTGCTTGAGTGTCCATCTTGTGTTCATTTCACTGTTCCTTGAGATCCTGTTGAGGTTAGCAGTCAGCCTGCGCTATGAAAAAAGAGTCAAGGCCTATATGTAGTGGTGATTTGAGCTCCCAGACAATTAATTTAGACCTAACAAACATTTACTTATTTATCTGACAAAACCTCGACTGAGGCAGCTGGTACAAATCTGAGTCTTGTTCACTTCTTGTTCTGTTTACCTCAGGTGGGCTACTTGTTGAGGTAAACAATTAGCGACTGTACGAAAAGTCATTTATATACTGCCTGAAGTAGATTTCTCAGTGAATGTAGATTTAAGGAGTATTTACGCAATGTATAAATGTAGAAATCCAGGTCCCTGATCTCTGCACTGTGAAGGCTCAGTGAGATACAGATGAAAACACCGCAGCCACGCTAATGCACTCAGACAGGCCTATAACGGGGCCTAAGCTAACATGACCGAATGTGTTATATGGTAATATGGGACACGTGTGTAAGTAATTTACTGCATTTCACACTAACAATCACTTTTAAAATGTAATCAACATATTTACAGTATTTTTGCGCTTGGTTGGAAAGAGTAATACTATGAGCATCAACTGAAACCACCCATACTGTCCGGTGCTGAGCTCTCAAACAATGAATTTAGACCTAACATTTTTTTAATATGTACAGTCCTGACTGAAGCCCTCATCAATGCCCGAGGCGCTAGAGAGGCCTAGAAAAAAAAACAGTTCTAAAAAGTTCGAAAATAAGGTAGCCATACTGACGTTTCGCCACTGGCTGAACGCACAGATAGTTTGGCAGGCGTCGTGTTGAGATGTGCTGGTTCGTCGTGGCTCTTCTTACCAGCTGCTGGAAGGCGGGCTGCTCCAGGTCACTCTGCAGGGCGAACTCGCTTAAGGCCTTCCAGGGGGGCTGATACGTCTGCACCTCTACAGGATTACCCTGGACCGTGTTGTCGTGTCTGATCGGACTGCCCGCCACCAGCGGCGTCCCTGTTAGTCCTTGGAGATTCTGCGGGTGGAGGAGAAAAGGTGACTTAATAATAATGATAATCATAATAATAATAATAATAAACATGGCATATTGGAAATTCCTTTCAGTTATGTACCCCACTGCATTGACTATTTGCGAAGTTCTCTTCAACACAAGGCCGTCCGACCGGAAGCTCACCGTTTTGTCGCTGTGCTGCTGCTGCTGGAGCTGCTTCATGAGCATGGACTTCTTCTTGTCCTTGCAGCGCTTGTTCTGGAACCAGACCCGGATGACCCGCGGGCTCAGGCCCGTCATCTCCACCAGCTGCTCCTTCATCAGCGCGTCCGGCCGCGGGTTCGCGTTGTAGCACGTCCGCAGCGTGTGCAGCTGCTTCTCGTTGAGCACGGTGCGCACGCGGGTGGTTTTCTCCGACTGTTTGTGGACGTGGTTCCGGTGAGGAGGCTGCCGCACCGGCACGGGCTCTGCGGACATACGGCGAGAGAAACTCAGCGCTCAGATCTCCGTCCACACAGAACACAGCCGAAAACAGACAGCACGCAGTAAAACGGAGTCAACACGGCCTCATTAAAACTGACTGACAGCAGCGCTTTACTGCACACTTTACTGAACACGGTGCACAAAACCCGCGATCACCAGCAGAGAAACCGAGCTGAACACCAGAAGAGAACAGCAGAAATCAACCAGCTCACTGCACAGTAACGCCTCACACTGCTGCCCGTTTAGAGGACTGAACTCATCAGGAGACTGAATCAGTCTGATTTCGCTATCTGGCTTCCAGATACAGTAATACAAATAATAAATATAAATAATACAGTTATTACAGTTTTATTAACGTCAACCGCAACATTTCTTTCATTTCACTTTTCTACAAATAAATCCACACATTTCACACATCGATATTATCCAGCTTTTTAATTTCTCGTTTTTATACATTTTGAGCAACATTAAAGCAAAAAGAGAGAAAAAAATCTAACGAGAGCACTAAACAATATAAACAGGATTCAACTCTGTAGAAATTTACCTCCAATTTAAGCGCATAAGAAAACTAACTCTGTGTAAACTGTGACTCTGTGTACAGATGACCCGCTCAAACACGCTTTCACACCATCGACCACATCTGAATATTTCTGAAATATAATGTCTCAAATTCTGCAACACAGGCAACACACTTTTCCAACGCATCACAATTTAACATGTATTTTATTTATTGTATTTAATAAAACACGCATTATGTTTGAGGAAACTTTTGAGGGAACTCTTCAAACTTTTATCGAGAATTAATTTCACAAATCCCCTCTATTTTCTATTTTTCCTAGCTCTAGCTGTAATTTTATCATTTTATTATTATTATTATAATTATAATTATTATTATTATTATTATTTGTAGTAGTAGTAGTAGTAGTAGTATTAAGTATATTTTATTAGGAATAATAATAACAACAACAACAGCAATAAAATAATAATATTAGGCATGTATTATTATTATTATTATTATTATTATTATTATTATTATTATTATGGTATTATGATTATTATGATGAATAAATGAATTAATGAAAGCAGCTGCTGACCTGGCATGTGCAGGGCTCTGGCTGAGTGGATGTTGGCGGGGCTGAGGGGGCTTCCCGCCGCTCCTCTCTCCAGCAGCAGGCCGTGATCAGCCCGACACAGCAGCTCCTCTTCCCGCAGAGAGAACTCGTCTCCGGGCAGGAGGTGTCTGCTGCACACCGAGCACCTGAAGCACTCCATATGGTAGACATTCTCCCGAGCCCTCATCACCAGCTCGCTGCTGCAAAAGCCGCTGTTACACTTGGCACATTTGATCCCGAATAACCTGCGGAGACGAATGAGCCTTTAGCTGATCCACATAGCCTAAATCACTGTAAAGCACGAGCTGCACAATACGAAATCATACTGCCTTTTTAAAAGAAGTATATTTCGTAACAAAACCGCCTAACAGACAGCAGACGGGCCTAAAAGAATTTACACTTAGTCTAGAAATTAGAGGAATTTTAGGGAACAATCTTTACATAACAAGTATGCATACACAGGCCCGTTTTGTCTACAAACCAAAAAGTACATTCATTCTGTCAGAATGTGTTTTACTGCCCACACAACAGCTTCCAGAGCACGCCTTAAAACACCTACAATCAGGATTATTATTATTATTATTATTATTATTATTATTATTATTACACGTCGACGTTTGTGAGAAAGAAAAACTTCACAAGTTGTTCTCTTCGATATATATATATATATTCCTTGCACGTGTTTTGCGGCCCACGACTAAATCTCAAAGCTTGGGCTCCACACTCGGAGGAAAAGCCCCCTCGTACCGTATATAGTCTCGTTTGCAGTAGGTCTTGCCGTCTCGGACGAAGCACGTGCACGTCTCGTCCAGGTACTGGCTGCACTCGGCGCATTTGAGGCAGGCCGCGTGCCACTCCAGGTCCGGGGACACTCTTAGGATGTACTGGTCATGGATCTGACTTCCACAGCCCACACACATGGCGATTCCGGACTTCTCTGTGTGGGACGCAGAGGTTAGAGAGAGCAGCACCTGCACCCACCTCACCTCACCTCACCTTACCTCCACATATCCTCACCCAAACGCTCCACACATCCGCACCCAAACCCTCCACACATCCTCACCCAAACGCTCCACACATCCTCACCCAAACGCTCCACACATCCTCACCCAAATGCTCCACACATCCTCACCCAAACCCTCCACACATCTGGGCTCATGCATTTGTAACGTGTGCGTCCACAAGTCCATGCATGTCACCTCCTGTTTGTTTTTTTGGGCCATTTCACTACGCTACACTTTCACGAAAACTGATCACAGAAATGCAAAGATCAGCACGAATGTACTACAGATCATTTCCCTTTTCAGAGCTCTACAAAATATCCAGAAACTTTGGCCGAGTATCGGACTGTTCTGCAAAAAGAGCTGCTTGGTTTAAACGGCCTCGTTGTGTCCGAACCGTAAATCACACTACAGTTGCGGGGAAAAAAAACAAGAACATCTCCTAAAGAGCGCCTGAAGAGTCGGAGGACTCCCTCAGAAGTCGAGCAGACCACTTACTTTTTGAATGATCCCCCATATCACCCAAGAAAGAAGAGTGGAGCAGAATATCCACCATACAGGATGGCTCGCGCTCTGGGCTGCGCGCGACGAAGCACAGTGGGAGAGAGCTCGTGTATGTGTATGTGTGTGTGGGGTGTGTGTGTGTGCGTGTGTGCACCGTCCCGAGCGCACTGAGAACCTGGAGCCGATGCGCGAGGAGCGCTGGAGGGGAGAGAGCGACCCACACGCCGCGTGACGTCACACGCACGCCGGGACCCCGAGGAGGGGCAACAGGGCAATTCAGCAGATACGCAGCCCTCACTGACTTAGTTTGTTAGCATTTTTCTTTTAGGCCAATACCTCGAGAGCGCGCGCAGTCAGACCCGTTTACGACACAGCGTGGCATTAAAAAAACAGCTAATCCGAACACAGAAGCGCCTAAACGGGCTGATTCCTCCTCGGAGGAGACCATTCTCTCCTCTCCGGAGAACAGGAGTCGGCGGGGAGGCCGGTCTGGTGATCTGATGTCCAGTCTGTGCAAAAGTTCTGAATCTCTGAAACTCCACAACTCGAGTCCGCCAGTGTGTATTTTAATAAAATCCTCAGTGCTTTTATTCGCTGTGTTTAAACTTCACTGCCGCTGCGCTCTAGAGTGGAGCCCCCTGCTGGACTCACAGCGCTGTCACACCCCCGCGTTCGGGCTTCACTCTCACTCTCACCGCGTTTCCTCCTCATTTTCGCTTCGGCCTTTCCTGACAGCAGCAGCGATCTCTGCGCAAAAACGTTACTAATTAACGCGCTAGTAAAGTATTTTATTATTTCGTTATCATGTCTCTTGTGATTTTTTTTTTTTGGTAAAGTTAAAAAGCTGCAATCTTTCACTCTGTTCTTTAACATAGAGCAGATTTGATCATCCTGTACACATTTAAAAATAATGGTTCTTCAAGGGTTCTTTAGTAAAAAAAAATGGCCCTATATAGCACCAAAAATGGTTCTTCAATTGTGATGACGTCAGGCTTTTAACCATAGAAGAACCCTTTTTGGTGCTTTGTAGAACTCGTTTTCAAAAGGTTCTATAAAGAACCATCTACAGCACATCTTCCATTCTCCATTAATCCGAAGAACCCTTTCACCATGCAAAGAACCCTTTAATCATGCAAAGGGTTCTTTCAGTGTCCCTGGTGTTCTATAGAATCATTGTCTTTACTAAAGAACCCTTGAAGATCCATCATTTGTAAGAGAGCACCTTTCGCTAAACTCTCAGTGTAATGATTTAGTACATATAGCGTAGTTTAGTTTATTTGATGTATTGTATGTAGTTTAGTGTCTGACTCAGTGCTGCTGCTGTAAACGCAGAGGCTCTCAAACTGACCTGGATCTCCCCGAGATCAGGCTGTTAAAGTCTTTATTTTTATAGTTTATCATTTTTATTATTTCTGCATTTTTTTGACAGATGGATTATTTGGACTTTAGAAATTGAGCTGTAAAGAATTTGTGAACTGCGTGCGAGTCGAGTTTCCTGATTTATTTGTGCGGATTATTTATTCAAGATGTTTCCAGAGCGGGCAGAGGGTCGCTCTTCCTCCAGCCCGCTCTTCACCCTGACCTTTAACACTGACCCCAACTCAGATCAATCCCGTTTACAATCTCAGCCCGGCACGAGACCGTCAGCACTTCGCTTTCATATTTCCATTTCTTTAAATTTCCCGAAATCACAGCTTCTCTTTCACACGTTCTGTACCTTTAAATCTGTCCGTCTCACCGAGAACACTCGTAGTTAATTTATGTATTTAATTTACGCCTGATTTAATTATCTATCTATCTATCTATCTATCTATCTATCTATCTATCTATCTCTCTCTCTCTCTCTCTCTCTCTCTCTCTCTCTCTCTCTCTCTCTCTCTCTCTCGCTTTGGCTCCATCCTCCTAAACAGAGTGTCGGTTAGTGAAACACTGTTAGGCTATGAAACACAACACAGTTTGATTTCTGCTGAAGAGACTCAGCTGTTACATTAATGACCATTTTACATTAATTACCATTTTAGTCTCTGTACTGTCAACATCAGAGTTAAACACAGGTAGATACAGCCTACTGTGTTATTTCCTACAGTTGCTCTCTTTTCTTTTTTTTCTCTTTTTGTTAGCCTACAAGCAGAAAAAAAAGTAAGACATTATTATCAGGAAGCGTTTTAGAGTTACACAAATTAAAAAGGAGAAGAGAACAAAACATGGAAACGAAAAAAATGATTGAACATCGGTTTAAATAGATAAATAGTGTGGCGTGGAGAAAACATCACAGAGAGAGAAAGAGAGAGAGAGAGAGAGAGAGAGAGAGAGCGAGAGAGAGAGGAAACATCCCCCCCCAAACACACTCACACCTTCACCCTGCAGTCCAGTCGTACTCAGTCTGATCTCTGGGGTCTTTTGTTCTGGACTTACAGTCTGTCTTTAGAAACCAGCTTTACAGAAGTCACTCAGCTAATGACAGCGTTTTATTTCTTTACTTCGAAGAACTTCTTCTTGTAAGGAGCGGTAGGACCACTACTCTTAGGGGGTTTCTGTCCTTCGCCGACTGTGTGATTTTTAAGTGTAATTTGCAAGAACTAAGGCTGAATCTCAAATGGCTCCTTACTCCCTACGTAGTGCACTGCGTAGATCTTAAAATAACGTCCTCCCTACAGTCAAACAGCGCATAATGTGTCTAACAAAGAGCCATTTGGGAATCGGCCAGGTGCACAATTCCCTTCTCCATAAACAGAGCACTGCTTCAGTGTAGAAGCCAAAATTTCATAACTCACATAATGGAGTACACAGAGTAGTGAGCCATTTGAGATGCAGCCTGATCTAGACTAGAATGGTAATAAAAAATACCAGAATGGGAACAATATATATATATATACATAATTTTATTGATGTCTCCACAGTTCAGGACAGAAGTCTCTTTAAAAAGGACAATGAGACACACACAGAGAGAGAGAGAGAATCCAACAGACATATAAAGAGAAATGAAGAGGTCGTTTTGGTTGTGTTATTTAACTCTGTACTACTAAAAAGGCTCAGCGAAAATATATAAACATTTATAATTAAAAAAACAGTTATTAAAACAGTATATTTAAACTTCTACATAATTAAGTGGTTAAGATGTAAACAAAGCAGGCTTGTTTAGTGTGTTCCGTTCTAGATCAGTTTACTGAGTCAGAGTTGTTAACAGTGGTGGTGATAGGAACCAGACATCTGAAGAGTTTAATGCCTCTAAAAGCTCCCTCACAGACAGTTCTTACATGAAATGGTTATGGATACTCAGCTTGATGTCTGAGACATTGTTTTATGATAGTTTTGTGATAAATTTTGGCTTAAAATGTATTTTAATTAGTGATTTCAATCCATTCACGGCGGAGGGGTATGCAGGGCATTGTGAGGCAAAATAATCCCCAAAGAAAACTTATTTTTCCAGATTTATGGCTATTTTTCTATCATCAACATCACATATAAGAACTCAGAAGGCACGTGTAGGTTCGCTGTTTTGGAATAGCAAACAAAATGGCTTTATTTGTGTTGTGGACATGACGACCCCTGGTTCCCATCACCAGGCTCAGATTCCTTTACCACCCGAAAGAAACCAGAGTCTACAGTTTTCTTTACAATGAACCGTTTTTATATCAGACACTCTACTCTAAATTACTGTTTACATCTACATGAACTAAATTATTAAGAAACTTTTAAAAATCAGCGGAGTTCAACCCTGTTAGCCTGTTAGCTCCCCGCTGCACTGGCTGTTAAACACCATCACGCTCTTATTGTAGGTTAAGTTTGGAAGCTGATTTCCGGTATTTAAGTTCGAACACTAAAATGAGTTTGGATGTTCGTGTATTTGATTTTTAATTAAGTTGGCTTGAAAAAGCCAACTTACTGTTCCTCGTAATCTTCTTCTTCTTCTTCTTCTTCTTCTTCTTATTATTATTATTATTCTACGCTCAAAATATAAAATGCTACTCCTCCTACAGTTTTCGAGCTAGAACCACGAAACTTGGCAGGATCGTAGGACCCATACCCGCGGAGTGTGCTTGTGCTTTTCTAAGCGATCCGACGTACGGTTTTCCCAAAATTAACGTTCAAAGTCGATATTTTTTCCTATAGGGAATGAATGGGCAGACTGTTGGCAGCATGCCACACATGATGTCACAATGGCCCGTTAACTCACACACCCATCCAAACTCACGCATGGAGCCCAATGTCTCACCCACTCCCAGCCTAATGCTCAGCAGTGTCAGCACACATAATGATTTGTTAAGGTGGAACTGCTTTTAAGGTGGAATTGCACTTAGGTAGCACTGAATTTTAAGGTGGAACTTCTTTTAAGGTAGCACTGAATTTTAAGGTGGAACATCTTTTAAGGTAGCACTGAGTTTACACTGACACTGAAATTAAGGTGGAACTGCATTTAAGTTAGCAATGAATTAAAGGTTGAACTTCAATTAACATTGGACACGGAATTTAAGGTGGAAATTTAAGGTGGAACTCTTTAAAGTAGCACTAAAATTAAGATGGCACAGAATTTAAGGTGGAAATTTAAGGTGGAACTCTTTAAAGTAGCACTAAAATTAAGATGGCACAGAATTTAAGGTGGAACTTCTTTCAAGGTGGCACTGCAATTAACATAGCACTAAATTTGAGGTGCCAAAGAACTTAAGGTGGAACTCTCTTTAAGGTAAAACTAAAATTAAGGTGGCACAAAATTTAAGGTGGGACTGCAGTTAACATTGCATTGAATTTAAGGTGGCACAGAATTTAAGGTGGAACTTAAATTAACCTAGCACTAAAATTAAGGTGGAACAGAATTTAAGGTGGATCTTCTTTTAAGGCGGCACAAAATTTCAGTTGGAACTCTCTTTAAGGAAGCACTAAAATTGGCAAAGACTTTAAGATGGAACTTCAAATAACATAGCACTAAATGCAAGGTGGTATAGAATTTATGGTGGAACTTCAAATAACAGCACTACAATTAAGGTGGTACAAAATTTAAAGTGGAAATTCATTCACAGTAGCAACTGGCAAAGAATTGCTATCCTCCAGGGATACTGCAGCTTCTGCTTAGGAACATTTTGGCAGTATTTTAACAGTCATCAACAGTCTTCAACCATTTTAACTTTAACCATTTTAACCATTTTAACTTCTTTTAAGGTAGCACTGAGTTCACAATGACACTGAAATTAAGGTGGAACTGCATTAAGTTAGCACTGAATTTAAGATGGAACTTCAATTAACAGCACTAAAATTAAGGTGGCAAAGAATTTAAGGTGGAACTTGGTTTAACGTGGCACTGCAACTACCATAGCATTAAATTTAAGGTGGCACATAATTTAAGGTAGTGCTAAAATTAAAGTGGCACAGTATTTAAGGTGGGACTTCAATTAACATAGTACTAAATTTAAGGTGGCACAGAATTTAAGGTGGAACTTCTTTTAAGGCGACACAGAATTTCAGGTGGAACTCTCTTTAAGGCAGCACTAAAATTAAGGCACAATTTTTGGCACAAAATTTAAGGTGGAACTTCATTCACAGTAGCAACTAGCAAAGAATTAAAATCCACCACGGATACTGCAGCTTCTGCTTAGGAACATTTTGGCAGTATTTCAACAGCTATCAACAGCCTTCAACCATTTTAACTTTGACCATTTTAACCATTTTAACTTCTTTTAAGGTAGCACTGAGTTTACACTGAAACTGAAATTAATGTGACTTAACTTCATTCACGGTAGCAACTAGCAACGAATTACCAACCACGACAGATACTGCAGCTTCTGCTTAACAAAATTTTGCCAACATTTTAACAACTATCAACAGTCTTCAACCATTTTAACGTTTTAACGTCATTAACTGGCTTTTTCAAGCCAACTTAAAGTTCGTTCACGAACTTTCCCTTTCTAGTTTAAATCTGTAGGTTTTAATGCTCCTCACTGAGATGCAACGTTTGACGCAGAGGCTGTCAATCAAGGGTTGTCATGGAGATGCAGTGCGTTGAAGTTCATGCCCACACAGCTGAGAGAGTGAGAGAGGTCAACAGAGAAAAGAAAAAAAAGTTTGACTTAATCGTTCAGAGATTAAAAATAATCGTTTCAAAGTAAGTTTTTTGGACAAAATGATGGATGGCAACTGCACTAAAAGATCCAAAATAGGACCACTTCTCTTCCAAAACACTTCTCTTGACTGTAAAGTAAGAATATCATGTGCGGGCTCTTCAAGCTGAGTGAGACAGTTGATGAGCTCAGGTGGGCGTTTCGTAGTTCTCGTAAGTCTCGCGATATCGCGGCCCTGACTGTGATCTCTGTGGTTCAGTCAACAACAGTGTGGAGGAGCTGCTGCTTCAAACATGCTCAGGGCCATCAACAAGAGAAATATCAGGACTCTGGTAAGACTGATGCACAGTCACCGTGCACCCTGTTTTACAGCCTGAGTAAGTGAAGTGTCAGCTCGTTGCTGTGGGAGAGAGAGAGAGAGAGAGAGAGAGAGCGAGCTGGACCAGAGTCTGCATTAGTGAAACACTACTTGTAGCTAGCCGTCTAGCTAGTTAGTTAGCTACCTAGCGTTAGATGAACACTTAATTAACCTAGGTGTTATCACAACACCCGTACAAGCAATGGTAAAACAACTAAGTTATACAAGCGTTTTTGTCCATGTGTTGTTTATATTGGAGCTTGCAAGGCATCTGTAATAGGATAGCTAGTATTATTTAATATAGCTAACGAGAGACCGGCTAAATAGCATGTGAACCCTAACCTGTTATCCTAGCAGTTTGCTAGCTACCATCTAACCTCAGTAAACTAACCCGTGTTCCCTCCACACTGACGCTACAGTCGTGATTTTTGGTTTTGTCTGCTGTATAATTAGGCTAGTTTTAGTCTTTGCACAAAGTCACTGTATACGCAGTGCTTTAAGTGATAGTACTGTCTTGTGTTTTTTATTGGTAGGCTAGTTAGCCGTTAGCCGTGTCTCAAGGTTATGCAGACCCATGAAGACCTTGCGATACGACACCAAACACTAACACTGTCTGTTACAACTGTCACACGTGATGAGTGGCTAACATCTTGAAACTTAACTAATTTACTTCCATATCTGAAATTTTAAGTGTGTTTTATTTATTTATTTATTTATTTATTTTTATCAGTATATTCTCTGAGCTTGCATGAGCACGAGTCTGAAGGTTTTCAAATCAGTTAACCATATATCTGAAAATTGAGTTTTTCCTTTAAGTTTCACTTAATTTGTATTAAATTCAGTCTGTTGGTCTGTTGGTTGAAGATTACATTTTATCAAAAAAATCAAATGGGTTTATCCAGGATATAACTGTGCAACATTTCATCACCTATCAAAGAAAGTTCTGTGGCGTTTTACCCCCATCATGCTAAATTTAGTTGTTGTATGTATGCAGTTATTGTTCTCAATTTACAGTCTCCTGACCTATAATTTTCATAGCTGACACTTTCTATATTTTTTTTAGTTAATACAGAATCTTCTGTCTTCACCCACCCCCTGTGTGTACTTTGCAAATTCCCAGGCTATTGAATGCTACGTGGCTTAAACTGCTTTGGTTTGGATTGAACCAATAACAGCCATGTTTACTATCTGGTTGAAAATGTCTGTTTGCCTTTTATAGATGTGGTGGTAGGCCCATGTCCATGTCTCACTAAAGTGTAACAGATTCAGTAGTGAACGATTGTAGTGTATATTTAAGTACTTATGCTGTAAACCAGTAATGACCGTAGTCTCGTTCTTTTTATCCCCAGTCAAGTCTCATCCAGAGGTTTCAGAGCACGTTGGTTGTTGCAGAGCACAACAATGACACACTGACCCCAATCACTCTAAATGCTATCTCAGCAGCCAGCAAACTTGGTGGTGAGGTGTCCTGTCTGGTTGCAGGAACAAACTGTGCTAAGGTACAACGACTGTCTGACTGATCCTGTCGTTATTATATAATGTAAATTATTTGTGTCCCACTGATTGAGGACCTGCTTTTAAATGTTAAAATGCATTTATGGTCAGGTAGCAGAGCAACTTTCTCAAGTTAAGGGAGTGAAGAATGTACTGGTTGCTCAGCATGATGGCTACAAAGGATCATTACCAGGTAAATTTTATAAAGAACAGTGAAATTTGCCTTTTTATGTAATAAGTTTTGAAATGCTTATTAGGTATGACTTTACATGGGCATTTCTCTAATTAATGTAACACTTGTTTCCTTGTTAACCTTGGCTAAACTAGGGCAGATTTTGTCAAAATGCATTGCTAATTTGCTAATTATGCAGTAATTCACAGCAAGCTGTGAATTATCAGTGGACATACACAGATCTACAGTGTGTTAATGTGTTGATAATCTCTGATTGTCTGTTGTAGCAACTTAACCAATGGGAACTGTCCAACAGCAAGTGCATATTAAAAAAAAATTCTCCTATTATTTAATCATTAATTCTATAGCTTTTTATCCATTTATTGCATTTATTATAATTGTTTGTAATGACAGTGTCATGAGGTTTATGGTTACTGGGTCTCTGGTCAATGGAATCTTATGTAAGATGCGACTAATGTCTTTCCTTCACAGAGGATCTGACTCCACTCATCTTGGCAACCCAACACCAGTTCAATTTCACGCACATATGCGCAGGAGCATCTGCTTTTGGAAAGGTAAATTTGTGATACTAGTTTAAAAAAATTAGTTAGGATCATTAGCATGCTGTCAATAATAGCACATACAGTAAAAGGCAATAAAATCACACACATGGTTGGGTCCTAGGTGTTAACCTAACATACTGCTTGTCTGCTCCTTATTAAATTGCATTAATTTCTCAGACCTGTTCAGGCTGCATTAAATGTGTGGTGATGTTTGTTTGTTTATTTGTTTATTTATTTTTTTATTTTTTATTTATGTATTTTATATACTTTTTTTGGAAATGTTGTGTTGATGTACATGGCATATGCTCGTGCTTAGTATTAATTTTTTTTTAACCAACATGTTTTAACAGACATTAAATTGTTCTGTTGACAGTTTACAAGCTCATGAACACTGTAAATTTTGGTTAGAACAGCTGAGTTTGTGTGATCTCAAAAGTAAGAAAACTAACGAAACTGTAAGAGCTATAAATTTACAAATTGTTTTGTTGTCAACCTATTGAAATTGAAGATATTGGGCTGTTACAACAGAAAGTGCTAGACTGGATCAAGGAATCAATTCAATCCTCTAACAAATCCTCAAACAGCACACTCTCATTGCATGATGTGATGTTAGTTTCATATTTCTTCCTGTGGGGTAGTGGAGCCTACCTTTGTTTACTCATCTTAAGTGAAGTGCTTAAATTAAAAGAGCTTATTTTAAAGTTTAGTAGTTTTTAAAGAAGAAATATCAGTTCAGTATCTGCCAATGCTCAATGTTTCAGTATTGGTATCAGAAATGCAAAGTAGTATTGTGCCATCTCTAGTAAGGTCTAATGTAGTGATATTTACAAAAATATGTACACAGTAGAGGATGAAGTGCTAAAAAGTACATAAAGGATTTATAACCCAAAAGACAGGAGTTGTATCCGAGCAAGATCAAGTGCAAGTGTGACTTAGAGAAACAGTTTAACGTGATACAGCAAGATGGTTATATATACATTTAGGAAAGTCAAACTTACTTATACATGAAGAGTATTAAGTGCATAATAAAAATCACAGGCTGATGGCTTAAAAAAAAACAATGTACTTGTTTCTCTTTGGTCTGTGAGCTGGTAACGGTCACATGGATTATGCTGTTCCATTAGTAACTCTACTGGTTACTGTGGAAATGTTCTCATCAGCATACTGTCAGCCTTTTTTTTAACCCACTATTGTTCAGTACTGTTCATTCTTTTATGGTTTTATTTTTTTCTGTTTTTGCTTTTGAAGTTATTGATATTTATCTCATCCTCTTTGAGGTAAATGAATAGAGAGGTTGGTCATAAAATGCAGAATGTAGTATTTACTTTCAGCAGTTGTAGTTATACTCAGTGAGAGCTTTTATGATTACTGTGAATTAGAAAGGGCAAAAGAATCATGTCTGGCAGTCCTTAGCTCATGTTGTATTGGGCATCTTACTTTTGTTTGAGAAGTCTGTCCAGAATAAGTGAAGCCCTCTCCACCATTATATGCATGGCTATTTGTCATTCTGCAGCTAAACTGTCAGCCAGCAGATCTAATGGTATTTAAATTCAATTGTAATACATTTAACAGTATCTTGTGTAGCATAACCCCAGACCAAATAGATGTATTAGTCTCAAATTCCTCACTAGATAGATGTATTTCATATGATGGATTTTTAAGTGGTGGATTTGGTTTCATTATGTCACTATATAAAACGCTTGAGTTACCACCTTTTTTGCATCCAGGCATTTTTCCCCTTCCAGACAGGATGTTTGTATTCTGTCTGAGGTTCAAGATCATTGAAGTTTTTAGACACTGCAGAGAATTGTATGAACTTCTAAAACTGAAGTGATATTTAACTGAAGGTATAATGGTATGAATGGTGCAGTAGACATGCTTACATTTGACGTTTCAATTAGCTAATCTAACCGTTTTCAGCATTTTGTTAGTGTGTATTGTTCCTTTAATGAGGACAAATTTGGGTCTTCTTGTCCAGAATCTTCTTCCCAGAGTGGCTGCCAAGCTGGATGTTGCTCCTATTTCAGACATCATTGAGGTCAAATCCCCTGATACTTTTGTAAGGACAATTTATGCAGGTAACTACACATTTTCGTCATTCTTTCTTTCAGCAGTCTTTGAATTTAACTGTTGTTCAAAGAGCGTTCCCAGTCACATAAGCTGCAGACATTTCCTTTGTCCCTCTTACATGAACATTCTCTAGATTGCTCTTGTGATTTACTACTGTTGGATGGGTGTGCACCAATGACTCACACTTGCTTGTATTTAATATTTTTTCACTGAAAAACAGAATTTTTAAAAGGATCTTGATGCCTTTTTGACCAGCATTGCAGTAATTATGTCCCCCAAACCCTTTTCACAAATTCGCTTGCATAAAAACATGCCATAAATACCTCCAGATGATTTTAACCACTTTACCTTTGGCAACCATTCTACTGAAATATATTCATTTTTGCGGTCAACTATCTATATGATTCATACAGAGCCTCTCTGGGCTTTTGCTTTAATTACTTTAATTACTTTCAGATGGCTTTGATAAGGCCCATTGACTAAACTGGTATGAAACTAGAGGGCCACAATATTACATTTAACATCATTTTATCTGCTTGTACTATGTAGTGTTTTGTTTTGCTCTATTGCAAGATTTATAATTGTCTGAAGAAGGTAATTTGCCAAAGAGTTGAATCAGTGGAATGATAAAGTGTGCAGTGCTCAATGATGGCTCATTGTTTTTGTTCTTGTTGTTCTTGAGTGGTATTGTTTGTGTGTTTTTAGGGAAGATTTTGCATGAAAACGTGAATTATGATGAAATTTCCAATCTTGCCGTTGTGTTTGCTGTAGGGAATGCCCTTAGCACTGTGAAGTGCAATGAGAAAATCAAGGTCTTCACAGTAAGAGGGACAGCTTTTGAAGCTGCTGCTAAAGAGGGTGGAAGTGCTACTTCAGAACAAGGTACTCAGCTCAGTCTATGACTAATTCAGTAGTGTATACTGAGTTTCAAATTTTGTCTCTTGTAACTTTAATTCTATTTAATAATCTGAATCTGATGTTCCAAAGCATTTTGATTAATGTATAGATTTTTTAGTTAGTATAAATGCTGGTTTTATGTAAATATAAAATAATAAATATGATTTGGAGAGCTTATCTGATGCAGTGTGACTTTTTTTTCTTTCTTTCTTTCTTTCAGTGTCTCCAGCTTCTCCTGCTGGGATTTCAGAGTGGCTAGAACAGAATCTGACCAAGAGTGACCGACCTGAGCTCACCAGTGCCAAAGTGGTCGTGTCTGGAGGTATGAGCTTTTTCTTAGGAACAAGTACAGGCTGATGGTCAGTATTGAGGTGTAAGATATGTGTTTAATTTTCACCTTATTCCTGAACTTTGAATAGATGAAAAAGTAAAAGTGTGTGTCATGTGCTGAATATTGCTCGTAATTTTTAAACCATATCTGTGGTTTGAGCTGGGCTGATCAATAGGGTGAAAAGCAAGCCAGCATTGATTTGACAAGTCATAATCTTGTCAATAATGTTATACTATATGCCCATCTCCCGTCTGTCTGTCAACAGGCAGAGGTCTGAAGAGTGGTGAAAACTTCAAGCTGCTTTATGACCTTGCTGACAAGTTAAATGCTGCTGGTAAGGAGAGTAACATTTTCTCACTGAGAAGGTTTAGGAAATGTAAATCAGAATGTTTAAATATAGCAACATTTTTTCCAAACTTCACTGCATGTTGCCTGGGCATGAACTGAATATCACTTTTATTCCCCAAGTTGGTGCTTCCAGAGCTGCTGTGGATGCTGGATATGTCCCCAATGATCTGCAGGTTGGACAGACAGGAAAGATTGTGGCTCCTGTAAGTAACAGTATTATTTGCAAACGATGCCCCGTTGTGGGTGCCCCCCTACTCAGTGATCTGACTCCAGCTCCTAATGTCCATATGAACTGTTTATAAACAGGACACATAATTCACCCAAAGTCCATCAGAAGTCATTATGCTTTATATCCATCGCCCTGTCAGAAGTATTTGATAAATGGTTCTAACTTTGAAGCAAACACAGTCTTTTTTGTAGTCTGATAAAGATGGATCCTTGTTGCCCTTTAAAAAGGTTAATTTTCCATTATCCAGTCTGAGTGGGACCTCCCAACTGTCATTATCCACACATTAGAGGAGCTTGGAGCTGCTGTAATGTAGTTAATGGCACATTCAGACTCCTAAATGATTTACCAGAGCCATTAGTGGAGCAGACCGCTGTGAATGTCTGCCCTGAGCTCAAATCAGGCAACCCAGCTCCAAACCCAATTCTCCAAATGTTTTGACAAGCTTGTCAGAAGCTCCATGACTATTATGTATTCATAATCATCCTGAAGGAATCTTAAGGTTTTAATTGTTGTGCATAAACGCAAATGAAGTAGAGATTTTTAAGCATTCTTTATGGTCGACTGAAAATTCATAGTGGTTAATATTAATTTTGACCTTGGGCATTGTTTTGATGAGAAAAAATTATTCTTTTGTTTTCTCATGACCTGTTGTCAGCTTTGCAGTAGATGCAAGTTCTGTTGTTATTAACAGTGAACAGTAAGCAGTAAGCTTTAGTCTGATGGACAAACGTGCGTGTTGCTCATGTGTGATTTATTTTTAACCAAGGATAAGGTTCAGTTCTCAGCTAGCAGTTTCAGATATTTGAGGAAAAGACTTTTTATGAATACTTGTGAAATGTAAATATGCAACCATTTCCTGAAGCCTTCTTGCTCTCTGAATCCATCCGGAGATATTTGTGTGCTGTGGCCGGGGTTGGAGTAAAACAGCATCTGTGTTGGTCTGGCGCTCTTACAGTAATACGTGGCCTGGCTTTTAGGACTCAGGCTGCCTATGTGTTCACAAATTGATGCTGTGCTCCTGTGAGAGCACGGCAGCCACATTAAACAGCACTAAAATATTCATAGGCTAGTGCATTAAGCTGAGAGCCGGTGCTGGGCTCCTCCCCAGAGGAAAGGGTTGGCGAAGGAGGGGAGAGGGCTGGTGGGGGCTCCTGCCTGCTACACCCCCCCTAAGCACTCCTCTTTTGAGGGATTACTTGGGTAAGCTGCTCTGGCTTTTGAAATGGGCAAGCAGGGATGGCTATGAAGTAATGCTCAGTGGGACAGAGGTTGAATGTCATGCCTGGTCAGTTGTCTCTGGTTGCCAGTGACCACTAAACACCTTTCTGCATTTTTTTTGTAGTGTATATAGATTGGAGGTACAGGCAAGTGTAACATTTGGAAATATTCTTCTCTCATATATTTGTTTCTTGAACAGTGATTGCAACAGTTCAATTTATGTACAATAGTTTGTGTATTTAATATATATTATATTATAATATATATTATATTATATAATATTATATTATATTATTTAAATTAATAATTATTTTTCTTTCTCTCCAAGTGCTAATTGTGGGCATGAGCCTCATTTTTTCCCTGCATGTGAACTGCACATTTGTACCTGTCATACTGGTGCCTGAGGCATCAACCAATTAAGAAAGAGCTCAGCAGGGTTCTGAAAGCAGACAAATAGAGTGCTTCTGTTCTCAAACGATTCATTACTGTGAGAATTTACAGATAGAGATAATGGTGTTTTGATTAGATAGATAAATTAATGAAATGTCGATTAATGGTAGTTGAATTGAAAGTAATTTGTCAGTATTTTAATGTTTCTCAGTTATACCTGCTTAGTTGAAGTAAAATTATATTGATTAGATTGCTGCTAGTACTAGAATAAAGCCACTTGTGGCCAAGTGTTACAGAGCTTTTACCAGGGTTAAGGGGTTTTGATAGGCAGAATGTGAGTCCTGACTCAGCCCATTGCAGTTTATTACCAGAACTATCCATTTCACAATATTTAATTGGATATTCTATTGGACCCTTGAAAGTTCAACAGTTTTGTTCATACCAGTGTCAGGGAAATGGCATTAGTTTTTGTCTGATATTTGGTTTTGATCCAATGATAAGCATTTCTCTGAAAATAATACTAAAACATTTCTCATTGTCCACAGGAACTGTACATTGCAGTTGGCATTTCTGGAGCCATTCAACACCTTGCTGGAATGAAGGACAGTAAGGTAGGGAAATATTGCTTAAATTGCAAATCATAATTGTGTCCTGCTACTCTAAATAGTTGTCACAATAATGTGAAACCCCCACTGTTGCCATGCCAACAATCATTTTTAGGGTTTCCACATTGTGCCACCTTGTCTCTGGCTTGAGCATGCTGTGTGTTCAAATGTAGAGTTGTGAATGTGATCTGGAATAGCTTTTTACCTGCATGTATAATTCAGATGCATTTTTTGCCTCTTCTGTGTCTTGTCAATGCAATTCTTTGTGCCGCCACTTCAGTACCTGCTAGACCACCCACATCTTCTCCATGTATCAAATGACTCATTTCCATAACTCTATTAATAGTCATACACTGGAAGCGTTCTGTACATTAATTGTTAGATACTGCAAGGTGGAATAAGTAAAAATATGCTCCAGATGTCCCCATGTTTCGTAACTGCAGAATACAGGAATCTAGGAAACACTTTTAGTGTAAAGATCTCAAAGATCTCAAAGATGCATTTCCCTGAAGGTTTTCATTTATGAGTGGTGCTGTAATTCCACAGAAAAATATGTGTCAATACTGCTGCTTATGTATTTTTAGACTATTGTTGCCATCAACAAGGATCCTGAGGCCCCCATCTTCCAGGTTGCAGATTACGGCTTGGTAGCTGACCTGTTCAAGGTAAGCTACCTCAATACATATAAAATGAAACAGCAAAAATGAGTTTTAACAAAGTTTCACACAAAGTATTTGTGTCTTAAGTGTCTTATCAACACATACAGTCACTCGACTTGTACACATCATGGCAATTTTTAGGCTGCCGTACATGTAGTTCTCGTACTCCCAGATACCCACTGACCCACTGTAGGATGAGGTCACATGTTTATCTGGTAGCAAGTTTCTTCCAGTTGGGAATGGCAGGCAGGACGGAAATCCCCCCCAAAAAAATGACTGGAGAAATTAAAGCTGCGTTTTCACTGATAAATTTTGCAGCATGCATTATTCCAGTTAATGGAAATGTGCTTCTGCTGAATTATTGAGCTACTGCATTAATCAGAGAAGAGTCCAGGCCTGAGCTAGAGCCTACATGTTAGTGAAAGAGAGAGATAGACAGCACATGTATCCACATGTATTCTCTCTCTCTCTTTCTCCTTCACACCAGAAAAGTAATTGATAGTTCTCACAAGTGTGTGGGGTGTAGGCTTTCACCTTTATTTTCAGGGCCCCTTTGCCAATGCTTTACATGGCCCACTGGTTTCTGTACTTTTTGAGTGGCATACACACTCTGAGTGCCAGAGGGTTGCCACACACTCCAGCACCCGTCTGTTGTTGGTGTTTAGTGCCTGTAAGCCTAGCAGCGTTTATTTCCCTGTGTTTGCCCTGTTGTTCATCTTTTATTTAGCTTGTGTGGTGCTTGGTGCAGGTGTGTGAGTAAACTCTGTAAAAGTGATTGGTAATGATAGACAGCGGCTGCTGAGCCTGAGCTGCTCTAAGATCAGCTTACATGTGATCACTCCTCGGATAACTGATTAAAATGGATGGGCTTTCTCTCTTTCCTTAAATTGAAAAGTGATCTGGGGGACATATTCGGGTGATGATATAGTTTTTCAACTGCTTTGCATCACACAGAACCTCTGCTTTGACCTACTGGGATAGTTACATGCCAGTCAGCCTGTTGAGAAACTTCGCCCTAAAAGAAGATGCATACAAATTCTGATGCTCTTCTCTGTTGTCTTTTGTTCTAGATTCTGTAGTTAATGGACTCTGTATTGTGTATTGTTTGTTTGTTTGTTTGTTTGTTACAAGGAAACAGCTGTTATATATTAGTAGTAAACATTGTGCATGTTGATGGGAGTATGCTGTATTAATCACACACCTAAATGATTTTAACCTGTAGGCTGTCCCTGAGATGACGGAAGCTCTGAAAAAGTAACACTCATCACCCTCATTTCAGCCTGGGAGACATGCCTGTAATTGTCCTGGGATTGTTAATAATAATTCCTTAATCCTTAAGGAAGTCCTGTAGAAGTTATGGATAAGAGTTATCACTTATCCTCTAACAGAACTTTTACAAAAAAATCTCATGGATAATACATCAGGCCTTTCTTTGATAAAGAATTCAGTCTACATATTACTGTATTTGATAACATTTGTTGATAACAGAAGTATTCTTATGCCAGCTCAAATCTACCAGTAGCATTGTTTTTGGCTTTATCATGTGAATACTTTGCATTTACTCAGTATGTAACAGTACATGTAATAAATGTCAGCTGTCCTCTTCTAAACTGAGTTTCAGATTTATTAACAAAAAAACATTTTTTGAAACTTTTGTTTTTCTTGTTTTCTGTTCAATGAAGCATTTTCGGTTCATTTTAACTAGACATTCAGCTCCATTTCTATGCAGTTGCACAAAAACAAGCTAATTTAATTTAACGTCTGGGCTTGTATAACCTGGCCTGGATAAATCACTACAATAAACAAAATTCTGTTTGCAAAAAATCTGTTATCAAGTTTTCTGTTCCCCTTCTTATGCTTCAGAATATTTCCTAAATATTTTAAAACTCTGCTGTCCAGGGTGTTTCCTGCCTTCTGCCCAGTGAGCGTTGGGATAGGCTCCAGCACCTCCCATGGCCCAGGAGGATAAGTGTGTGTGTGTGTGTGTGTGTGTGTGTGTGTGTGTGTGTGTGTGTGTGTTCATTTTAAAACCCCTCATCAGTTGGAAAAAAGGCAGATAAAAAAAAACACCACTTTCCATAATTTTACCAGCTTTTATTTGCTTGACAATTTCTCCCATTATCAGTTTATAAAATGCCTTAACAACACAGGATTAGTTAGCCTCAGTCAAAAAGCAGAGATCTTTTCAAAGGCTCATGCTATAAGGATGGGGTTAAGATTAAGGGTTATGACAACATTTCTCATCCGTCATTTCTCATAAAAACCCTCTAATATTATATTCCTGAATTTCTCATCCATGAAATTATCAGCAGGTTTTAAAAATACTTGAGTTTAGCATTTTTTTCTGTCATAGAATTCTGAATACAAACGTTAGCATCAGTAAGAAAGGCAAAGGTAAGAAATTTGGCTGAGTAACACAGCTCGACACATTTGAACACAGATCAAATGTAACCCTGCAGCAGTCGGATCAGTTTGACTGTACATTGTGTTATTCATAAAAATAAAACAAAAACTCGTTGCCCCACCACCCCGACCGAAACCCTGAAATAAGAACGCATGAAGAATCACAAGTCTTCCCAGCCTCATTTTTCAATACTGCGCTGCTGTCTGAAAGCTTGAGTGCGTTTGTGTCCCATTGCTGGTTTCTTAATGGTCACCAAACACAGACAAACACTGAAATAGGAAATTCCTGATAAATGTTCCAGTGATGGCTCCCGAAGTGCCTCTCCCTGGGCTCTGGAAGGTTGTGCAATTTTGGCAGGAGTGACACTCACAGAGTTCAAGTGCTTTTGCTTGAATGAGAGAGAGAAAGAAAGAGGGTGTGTGCCAAGAACTCCTTGCCCTAAGTGGGGAAACCCCTCTTGAGAAGACAACTGAGAGCAAAGTCCTTAGTGCATCACTCAGTGAGCCACTCTTTAGAGAGCATGAAGCCTGGGAGAGTCAGAGTCAGTAGTGCTGGCTGAGAGAAAGAGACAGAGAGAGAATCAGATAGAGAGAGAGAGATAGATGGAGAATGCTTCAGCTGGTGCTGGTGGCCACTACACTGCACTTCCTTGTCCTACGTGTCCGGCACACGGTTCAGCGGAACGTCTGCAGGCTCCATGAGTCTGTACTTCTCGTCCAGCGATGGCTCTGTCCCCTGCAGGTGGATCAGAGGTTTGGTCTGGAACACACCCAGACTCTCCTGGTTCCTCTTATTGTAAATGTTCACCCTGTGCTCCAGCTCCGGGCTGGCCTTGACCGAGCCAGCCGGACTGGGCAACTTCAGGTTGACTGGGTTCACCCGGCCCTTCTGGGCCAGGCAAGAGTCCTCGGAAAGGGACGAGAGCAGCTCCTTGACTACGGCACTTGGATCTTGTGCACCCAAGGCCAGTGGGCTGCAGTATGGTGGCGGGCAGCAACGGCGGCCGCTGTAGTCGGACGTGGAGGCCTCACGCACCGTGGAGCTGCAGTCACTGCTGGAGCCCAGTGTCTGGCTGCTGACACTGTGCTGGCGGGCTGTGAAGCTGCAGCTGGAGCGAGACACCGTGGTGGCTGAAGCTTCGCTCACACAGCTACCCGTGCGTTCCAGGCGGCTGCCCGGCCCATCTGCACTCACCAGGGAAGGGGGCAGCTGGCTGGGGTTAGTGGGCAGGTGCACGTCTATGGCTGCAGTGGTTATGATGCGTGCACCTGGGTCTGGAACCCCAATATCTACAGTAATGACAAGAGCCATGTTACTGCTTTTGTATATTTGAAAGTTTTTCATCGCATTTTTTATATTGTAATGCAGTGGTCACCAGCCAAGGACCTGGAGATCTAGTGGTGCATTCTATATTTTGTGTTTGGATGGTCACCAGCAACTGGTAAATTTATCATGAGACCAATACTGCTGCCATGGACCAATTCCAGCTTGGACTACTGTGTTCATGTGGTGAATATGCTGGCTAGTGATGTGTTACATCCCATAAACTCAGGTAACATGAAACTTACCCAAGTTTACAACTTGTATTTACGACTGAGTCAGCCGTTCACGTATAATTTTATTGTGGTAAACAATAATTCACAAGGACCATCTGATGAACGCACCATACCATCCTCCAGATTCTAGGTCACCAATTCTATCCACAAGGAGCTGGTGTGGCTCCTTTTCTCTTCTCACTTGTATAATCAGCTTGTTTCAGTGTACAACAAATTGATTAGTTAAATGAGGTCCTCCTGCTTGGTTAAACTGAAATCCTGCAGCAATACCGGCCCCTTGTGAATAAGATTGGTGACACTGGTCTAGTCCAATCCAAGCATAACTAATGTCAGAAGTCCTTGATTGAACTGGAACAGGTGCAATAGTGCCAGGTGAGAAGCATGGAAGCATATATGCAGAAAAGTTGATAAGAGGGTTGGTGGCCACTGCTGAAGAGCAAAATACATGCAATGATAAGACGTCACATAATCCTGTAATGTAATTGTGTGCGTGAATGTGTCTCTTACCACTACTTGGCTCACTGTAATACTGGCTGATGTAATTGTTCATGTCATCTTGAACAATGTTCTCTGAAACAAAAGCCACAGCATTCATTCATGTGACACAACACAAACAAGTCAAAGTCAGAGCATACCACTACCCGGTTCGCTTTGGGACGCTTTTATTTTGGTGTGGTGGTTTCCTTGCTCGTGGGCCAGGCAGGCTCTGAGCAATCTAACAATGAAGACACCAGCTCTGCTTTGCAGGCTGCTGATGGAAGAGACACTTTAATGGAGTGCGTGTTGGCTGGGCAGGATTGGGGCTTGGGTTGCAATCATTGGCTGGGTGAAAGGGCTCATGATCCACTTGGCAGAGCGGCAACACTTGCTGCTGTCTAAGTGCCATTCCTTCATCCCCAGAGACACGACCCCAACTCACTGGGCCTTTATTTCATTCATTTTTTACTGTTTAAAAAATTAATATGACAGTGGCCCTGGAGGAGAGCCGCAGCGGCCTAAAACACCAGCAAGACAATCACTGTGGGATGAATAACACATGAGGAGAATGATGAGCACACACTGGCTAAAAGCTGTCTGCTTTTATTCTACTCTCAGTCGAGAGAGAGAGAGAGAGAGAGCTAGACAGAAAGAAAGAAGAGGGAAGAGAACGTGTGTGAGGGAGTGTGAGAGATACAGAGAGGGAGAGAAGGCAGTGAAGCAGTGCCAGGTGATTTAATGGCCCTCCAGTGTTGTGCTGCGCTCTCTGAGCTTTGACCTCACTGCCTGACAGCTTTCGTTGTTTGTCTGGCTCCGGATTTTATGTGCTGTCTAAACTTGATCATGTTATCACCTTCTTTATTTACTTTTTCTATCTGCTTTGAGAATGTGAGGAATTTGGTTGGCGGAACTTTAAGGGGACATCCAAAATGATGATTTAAACTGGCAGGCCAAAGAGTTTCTCTCTGACGTGAGACATGAAAATAAATATCAGAGCAGTGCCAAGATCTGCCCATGATTTAACCAGTCCTGAAAAGCACGTCATCGGGAACCTCTATCTGACATCAAATAGGGGGTCTTTGTCTTTAGCTCTCTCACTCTCATCATGGCGTGAATAAGAGATGACCACTAAAATCCACATCCCCAGGCTACTCTCGTTCTTTCTCTCTTTCTCTGAGCGCTCTCCTGAGGTCAGGGCCTGCTTTGACAGCCCTTTTTGTCCAGCCGCTGTTCTGAAGAAAAAAAGCCACAGGCGGGCTCCTGCTCCCACAAACCTCTGGGGGCCCTAGTGTGGCTTGCTGGGAGCCCATTGTGGTTTTTTTCAGGTGAAAGGAACAGATGTTTGTGCCATAGCTGAGTACTCTTTTAGGAGAAACATGGCCCAATGCACAGAGCGCTGCGTGTGTAAGCATGTCAGCTGTAGCATGCTGTACAGATCCCAATGTGACCTGACATAATGAACACAGAGCAGAACACACAGCCAGGCAGGCTACACACTGTTAGACCTGTGCTACGTTCTTTGCTACAGTCATTCACATGGAAGTGATACTGTGCGTGTTTGCTCAATTCTTGCTGTGCAACATGAAGACAGACTGATAAATACTGTATGGAAATAAATATACCGTATTATGCTGAGCTAATGACAGGCTTTGTCATTCAACTGCCACGACATAAACTAGTAATAATCTCATTGCACCAGTAGACAAAGAGGAGGCTGTAACCTGCAACCCTGCTGGTATGGGAGCACATAGGCTACTGGTTTCAATAATGTAAAACCAATTTTGTCACAGATACCTACATAAACTCATTCTAACATGGTGCTAGTAAAATCCAGCTTCACAGGTTTTAAATAAATTGTAAAAAGCTGTAAAACATTTAGAATTCAGAATCAGACTAGAGCTGTAGATGATTGTAAAATGACAAAGTTGTATACCATTAAGAATTGAGTTTCAATTTAATTAATATCTACAAGGTAAATGTTTATGAGGAATTGTTATAAATACAGCAGATAACTATACAGTATTTGTAATTACAATAATACATTTTTGTAATCTAATACCTTCTTGCTGGTCCCCAAATACTAAAAACACATCCTTTAAGAATTTACACTATGTAAATTATAAGTTAGTAAAATAACAATAATATTAATATGAGAAGTGATTCCATATTTTGG